TTCTAAATTAAACTTTAATATTCCATGTCATTTACCGAGATCTGGCAGTAGCAAACTTTTCCATCCACCTAAGAGTCGTACAAATCTAAAGTTGCACTGTCCTTTATCGCGAGCAACTGCATTTTATAAGGAATACCAAAATAATATCGACCTTGTTTTGACTTCCATGCCTGCTATTAAGAAACTATTCATACACTAGAATTGTAACGTGTATTATATATTTCTTTTATTATTTTTATTTTTAAGTTAAAACTATAGCCAGTATAAACGCGTTCTCATATATGGACGTTTCGGTCGCTCGGCTGTGACGCGCGTGCTTGTCTCTCATAGTGCTGCTGTGGCTCGCCTGGAGCGCCTGTGTGGGAGAAGTGTGTAATGATGTAACAATGCAAGCGGTGCCCTCCTATAAGTAATGGGACACTTAGTATATAACCTTGTCATTATGTAATTTCTATTGTAGTTTTAGTGTACTCATTGTTGTGAGAGCCTGATAAATAAATAAATAAATAATACCCGGGTATTAAAAATACATAATTAAGAGTTTCTTTTCTCTACACTTCTCCTACCCTTTTCTCCACCTTATTTCAAACAATGTTTCTCTTACCACTCTTTTTCATCACAGTGTACCTTGCGTTCCTCATCTAATCTCACTTTTGACCTCCTCGTCGTTCTACTGAATTCTTCTCTTATAAATTTTCTGTCCATGCTGTCCAAGATACGTTCACTAAGTTCTTTATATATCGTTTTCATTTAATTTATTAAGATATATCTCGTATCCTTCAAACCGTAACACCCAATACCCAATATAATTTTAATCCTTTTCATTTTTGTCCTGCATAGGTTGCCTGGAAGAGATTGATGCTTAGCAATAAGGTCATCTTCTGTGTACTATTAAAGAATATTATTATTATTTGAACTTTCTTATTTATGACATTACCCGGACATTATGAATATTATCATGTGGTGTTCGGTCAATCTAATAAGAATATATTATACATAGGAGAAATGGGTGTAGGAGAACAAACAGGGAATAACAGCAATTGATGAACGAAAGAGAAAGTCAATACACGATGTCAACTATTTTTGTTGGCCATGTGATTTATAGGGTCTGAAATACATAACCTCGCACGTGACAAGTTATACCTCTTTTATATTTATCTATAAAAATGACGTAGGGATGCTTATTCGAAAGCTGAGCCGATTACACTATTGAAATAAAAATAGTACTGTAAAAAACCTCGTTTCGCTCGTTCTGCCCGATAGGTGATTAACTTCTGTTCATCCTTCAAAAACATCAGTCTCTCAAAATAGTTCTCTTAACAGAATGTGCATGCATTCATTATAGTAAAATCTGTTCCAATTGTGATCTTTAACAGTAGTATTCCTACATTTAAAAAACTTTTAGAAGAGTAATTTAAAATTGGTCGAGCTATTTTGCTTTTATGTTTTCCGTTATTGTGCCGTATAAAATTAAAACTATAAATAACGATTATATTCGCTCAACATTGCTTTCACAATGCTATACTAGAAAATATTCTTAATGGAAAACGCTTAAAAAATTCACCAGCACCAGGTACTCGAACCCTTTCGCAATTTCCCGTCAGTCGCCCGGATTACCGAAAGGTCGTAGGTTCGAGACCTATCTCAGAGCACCTGGGGCTAGTAAATTTTTTAAGCATTTTTCATTAAGAATATTATAAATGATGCCTGATCAATTTGATTATTTCAATAGTTTTCATTGCTCTCTCGTATTGGGCATTTTTCATATAGCGGGCATTGTTTATAATGCCCGAGTAATTAGATTATCAATTATATAAGTAGGTATATAAATATCTCAAGACCGTGTTTTATCAAAATTGTTAGATTAAATCGAGTTAAGAAATCGAGAAATAACAGAATAATAGCAGCAATAAATCGATAAATTCAAGAAATTTTTGCTGACGCCGAGCATTTAATTATTAATAAAAAAAAACTACGTTAAACCAAAGTATTATGATAAAAGCCTCTTTGGGTTAATAACCATATTTTTTAACTCCCAACAAAACAATAAATTCTATAAACACACCACGAACCTCTAGATTTGCCACAGTATGATTTCTGAACAGAAGACATTCATAGTAGTGAAGCATTTCTATGATTTTCTAAAACGATAAAATCGCTTAAAGTTGGCAGAGCGCCAAGTTTCTCGCTTATACTTCGAATGTAATCACATTCTATGAAAGCTCCTTAACGAGATGTAATTGCAATGGTTCGAGCGAGATAGTACTATATGATTATATAGCTTTCTCACTTCCGGGACATTGGTAAAGCTCCTGAGCTTCGGTTAATACGTCGAATACACGTTTAAGTAATATAATGGAATCTAACTAAATCACACTCTTGAAATCACCATTTCAAGAGTGTGATGGAGTTACATTCACTGTTTCAAAAGACTTACTATTACCCTGTTAGAATATCCTGTTATCGGAGGAGAAATTCGGTATCTGGACGATTTTAGGAATGGGCAAAAACATGTACGATGTCGATATTGCTAATTAGTTTTATATACGTACAAATTTGTTATTAATTTATTTCTGTATACTGTGTGTAAAAACGGGGCCCCATCACTACGACTCCGCTGTCCGTTTGTCTGTCTCATGAACTGTGGTAGCTAGACAAGTTGAAGTTTATGTTACCTATATGTTGTTTATGTTGAAGTTTATGTTGCTATAACAACAAATACTAAAAACGGGATTTTCATTTTTGTATCAATAGCGGTACCTTCGTAAGATGGTGCTTGTGATGTGGTCCTATTTAAATTTGAGCTAGAGATCAGTCTTTATGTATTACATCAAAATAAGTGGATGTAAAAAAAAAATCATTTAATTCACACCACGTTCGTTGCTTGTCTTGTCTGCAATTTCTCAAATAATCCCACGTTCGTTGCTCAAATACCTAAATTTTATTTTTTATTTATCATAAAATCTATAACCGATTTTTACAATAAAAAACGAAACATTTCACGAAATATATATCGAAACTTTTTTGTTTTTGTAGTGCCAACAAACAAATTTAAGAGAGTCAACCTCTTTTGTAATATTAAGTAGGTAGTTAAGAATATTCTTCAATAAGGATATGTTTTTTATACTAGCTTTCTGCTAACGGCTTCGCCCGCGTGGTCCTGTATTAGTAGTTGTGTATTTTATCTCAACGGAACCGACAACGGAAAGCGACTTTTTTATACTGTGTATGTAGACCTTTGGAATTAAAAATTTTGGTACATTTTAGTTTTTGAAACAACTTTGTTTGACTACTTAGATATGACTTTTATATCAATGAAAAAAATAGATAAAATTATGCCTAAAACGTCGACCAGTCCCAGGTATTTTAAGATATGACTCGAACTTAAAAGTAACGAAATAGCGAAAAAGGAACGATTGCTTGAAAGATTCCTCAGTCCTGTTAGGTCCTGGGTAGCTCAGTGGTTAGAGCAGTCGCCCGGATTTAATATTTCAATATAACAAATACTCGATATAGACGGAGTTATAGAAAAGCTAGATGGCGCAGTGATTAGCGTGGTCAGTCTGCGATACGGTTGTTAAGTTACTTTCGTAAGGACCGATCATAGCATGAGAGACCAAGAATTGTTATCTCGAGCTTCTCCGTGCATCAGAAGGCAAGCCGTTGTTCCCGGCTGCATCTGCAGTCGTTAAAATTTATGGAGGGTCATGGCTTAAAGGCCTCCTTAACCATCCTTATGGAAGGCATAAGTGGTGACGTAAAAGGGCTGATGATGAAGAAGAAAAATATCTTTATAGTAATCGTGAATGTTAAATTTGTCAATTATGTACCTATAGATACTAAATTAACATAAAATTAGGTAACTTATTGAACAAATCATGCATTTACTTAGTATTTAACTTCCGAAGTGATATTTATCTTTAGAACCAAGTTATTTTATTATTTTGTAATATAATTATAGAGATAGCTGGGCACAATTCTTACCAGAAATTGAAGTAACTGAGATAAATCAATATAAATTGTAATGGATCTTAATATTTAAACAAACAGACGCCTTTCGACTTTGTGTTTAAAACATCCCAGGTAGAGCACCTGTCTGCGTGCCAATTTATAGTGACACCACTCCCGGCGAAAACGGGGAAACAGTGCTATCTCCCTCACTCTAACCGTAGCTCACCGTAACCCACCCGTCCTAGGCGTACAAAACGCACAAAACAGGTCACATAACATCACCAGCTATCCACTTCAATTGATCACTAGAAACATGAATAAAACACTCCGCTGTATCTAGCAAGTTAGCAGTTTCCCGGGCACATGGTCCCCCCGCACCCCTCGTTTTGACAGCTGTCTTATATTTATATGGCACGCCCAAACTTGTCCAAACATGAACATGAACTTACCAGTCTACCGACGCACTTGCTGGTTGATATTCTTCGCAGCAATCGCTTCCTTTCCGTATCATTGTCACTGTCCGTGCTGTCCTCGAAAAATGCCGTTTTTTTCTCATCTGAAACCGCATTCCTGCCGGCCACTGACATCACTCCGCGAATACTCGCACACCAAACACTTAGCCCACATCAAATGCAACTACATCATACAGATTAAACTAATAATTTACATTGTATACGCGCTTCGCTACCTCGCTGACATTTCAAGCGAGCGCCATGACAATTGTGACAAGACAGGGAACGCCGCTGCTGAAAACAAAACAATTTATTTGCCCTGGAAACGATTGCGGTGGCACCTAGTGGCATTTTCATCATACTGGAAATAACCAAAGTAGGTAGGTAAGCGACATCTCGCCTTTAGATGCGGATACTTATAATATACCTGAAACTATTGCGCTGCCATCTAGTAGAATTTTCATGAAGCACTAAGAAAATTTGGGAAAATTTTTCAACAGATGCTATAACAAGCTTTGACTGTTAATGTTGCAGATGGCATAAAACGCGGAAAATAGTTTCACCCATTAATATTTATCGGACGTAGGTATACGATACGATGCTGGCTAGTAAGAATATCATGCTGGCCGTTAATATTCTAACATGTACAGACAAGAACTTCGTAAACGTTCTAGAAATTCATTCAAAAATGTTTTGACGACTGAATATTATTCTTTTGACTCATTTTATTGAAATCCACCATAAGATGCGCACAGTGTAAAATCGCGATAGATTTTTTTTATATATTTTTTTATTAGTTTTAAGTTAATGTTAAGCTGCAACAATCCTGTGCACATTTGGTAATACTGTGAGAAATTAACAAGTATCTGAATCCACGTTTGGTAAATTTACAAGATGAGGGAAATCATTAATCTGCAGGTCGGGGCTTGTGGAAACCAAATTGGAGGAAAGGTGAGATGGATCTCTACGTACTGCTTAGTTATTAAGAATGTTTATATTTCTCTTTGAAAGCATTTCTTTGACACCAACTTTGACTTTCAATACAAACAGTAAGCATGCGTCCATCACGGATAAATTTGTCAGAGCTCCGCATCGAATTGAACGGAATGTAAAGGAAACATACATTTTACCGTCCACAACGGACATTCGCCTAGGTCATCAAAGTCGCACTGAACCAGCCTAAATAGTGTAAAAATTTGGATTACAATACTTAATTCCTTTGCTTTCAAACGGGAATTATGATAGAATTTAACCTAAGGAATTTTGTTTCAGTTCTGGGAGGTGATATCCGACGAGCATGGCATCGACCCGAGCGGTTGCTATCACGGGGACTCTGACCTCCAACTGGAGCGCATCAACGTATACTACAACGAGGCGTCCGGTGGCAAGTACGTTCCTCGCACCGTCCTCGTAGACCTGAAGCTGGCCACCATGGACGCCGTGCGCTCAGGACCTTTCGGATGCCTTTATCGCCCCGATAACTTCGTCTATGGCCAGAACAGTGCCGCTAACAACTGGGCCCGCGGTCACTACACCGAAGGCGTTGAAATCCTGGAATCTGCCCTAGACGTGGTTCGAAGGGAGGCGGAAGGCTGCGACTGCCTCCAAGGCTTCCAAATGACTCATTCTCTCGGAGGCGGTACTGGCTCCGGATTAGGCACCTTATTGGTTAACCGAATTCGAGAAGAATACCCTGACCGCATCATTTTAACATTCTCAGTGTTCCCAAGCCCAAGGGTCTCTGACTGCGTCGTGGAACCCTACAACACCACCCTTGCTGTTAATCAGCTGGTTGAAAATGCAGACCACACTTTCTGCTTAGATAACGAGGCATTGTACGACATCTGTTTCCGGACACTGAAACTAACGACACCGACGTACGGTGATTTGAATCATCTGGTCTGTGCGACTATGTCTGGCATCACGACGTGCTTGAGATTCCCTGGCCAGCTCAACGCGGATCTGAGGAAACTGGCTGTAAACATGGTCCCGTTCCCTAGACTTCACTTCTACACGCCTGGTTTCGCTCCCCTGACGTCGAGAGGGGCACAACAGTACAGAGCTCTGACAGTTCCAGAATTAACATTACAGATGTTCGACGCTAAAAACATGATGGTTGCATGTGATCCTAGACATGGAAGGTACTTGACCGTGGCCACGATATTCAGAGGCAGAATGTCGATGAAAGAAGTTGATGAACAGTTAGTGAACATTCAGAATAAAAACAGTACTTACTTCGTGGAATGGATACCGCATAACGTGAAGATTGCAGTTTGCGACATTCCTCCGAGAGGGCTGAAGATGGCTTCGACATTCATTGGTAACACGACAGCGATCCAAACCATATTTAAGAGGATGGCTGAACAATTCGTGGCCATGTTCAGGCGGAAAGCGTTCCTTCACTGGTACACAGGCGAAGGTATGGACGAGATGGAATTTACAGAAGCGGAGAGCAATATGAACGACCTAGTGTCAGAGTACCAACAGTATCAAGACGCCACGGCTGATGACGAAGGCGAGTTCGATGAGGAAGCAGAAGGCGAAGGAATGGAGGAATAACAATTAGTTTGGGTTTTACATTTGTGCATGTCCATGTGTACGTCTTTGTGATTGTCTTTAATAAAATCCTCTACTTCTAAACACTGCTTTTATTAGTCCTTGGTATAATCACTACATAGTAAGTCACTATTCGACTATATATGCATAAAATAATGAACTGTTTTCCAAATACTTCGTCCGCTTAATTATTATATTTATAACGTTTAAATGGTGAAAAAACAAATTGTGTTACGTAACAGCTCTTACTCATATTACAAAACTGAGAATTCAACCTTATGCATACATAAAACGATATTAGAGGGCCGCGACGTAGTGACGTCTTGAAAGAAGTGGCGTTTTCGCGGAATTTTTGAAAATTATAATTTTTAAATTTTGACTTTTAATGATACTTTTAAATATATTTTTTTGTTATATTTCATATATAATTTGTTAAAAAAAAAGTTGCCTACATCCCTTATAAATAAAATTAATTAGCCTAAAATCTGAAATTAGTGTTAAATACCTATCCAGAATTATATCAATGTAAAAGTGGTTCCTAATCTTAATATCTGAATTCAGGAGCCACATGGCACCTATCCTCAAATTAATAACCTACAGAAAACCTCCACCCGACTTCAATAGCATTTTCTTGAATAAGTCGCTTTGAGAATAAGTATTATTTCAAAAGTATTAAACTTTTTTTGCAAGAGTACTTATCATTCACAGTCTCAGTATACTTTTATAGATAGTTAAGATATATTGGGTGCTTTATATTTCAAACTTGATGTAAATAAAAACAAAATAATAATAAAATAAGTTTTATTAAATGTACAAATAACACAATCAGCACAATTAAACGAAGATACTCATTATCTTCACCATCATCAGCGCATTAATGCCCCCCACTGCTGGGGTACAGGCCCTTCTAATGGATAAAAGCAATCAGATAAAGAGTCGTAATCCACCACGCAGGCCCAGGGCGGATTGGTGGGTGAAGATACTTATAAACACGATAAAATCTCGCTCACAACCAACTCATATGTACAAGAATTAACAAGTAAGCAACGTGTATAAAAATAATAAATTATATTTAGTCCGTCGATAAGATAACAGAAAAATATTGGATACGTTTTTTTTTTGCTGCAAGTTAATAATAAATTACTTGGATAATAGGAATTAAAGTATGTCTGAAAACTAAGGTGTAACATCATGCATGTGACATGGCTGCTGCAAAGAAAAATATTGTAACTCACTTTGATCAATTATAATTGTGTATTATAAGTGGTGTTGCTGTTTTATAAATTCTTATTCTATGTCGAATCTAACTGGCTCAACGTTAAAAATTTCCATTGTTTAAACTGTCTTTTATAATATTGTATTGTTTTATAAAATTTCTGTTTATGTGAAGATTGAGTTACGCCGTTTTTACTTGCAATATCGTCACGACTCTTTAAATGTCTAAAGATATGTTTTAAATACAAAGTTATGCACATTTGTTTTAGAATTACCACTATATGTTCTTAAATGATAAATAAGTTTTGGAACCAATGAAAAAGCACCTTCCCTTTCTTGAATAAAGTCGTAATTAAATTTACGCTATTATAGTATTTATCTATTTTAAACGGTTTACATAAATTCCAACAACTACTCATACAGTAAAAAAAAAAAAAAAAACTTACATTCATTGGAAGGAAGTTTTTGGAGAATGCTTTTTTTATGGTGTATTATAACAAACTTATTAATGGTGTATCATAACTATAGTACGGATAGGCGCCATATTCCAATTATCTACATTTTTATAAAAGATTCCAGTTCTTAAATCCATTTAACATTTCTGCCTTCAACAATAAGGTTCAAAATAGTTCAATGTAACTATTTGGGTCTAAAATCAGGTAGGCAATGTTCTACAGGGTTTGGGGGCGTATCTTCTGTCAGGTATGAGCTAAGAAGAACCGGCGCACATACTGGTATCCTTTTTGAGATCAACCATGAAGCGTCTCTGTCCGACAATGGGTAACGTTTCACGTCCGCGAAGCAGACAGTTATATTTTCATCGTTGTACGGCGGCCTGAAATATTGATGAAACAATATGAATATTATGCAATAACATTTATTGTCATAATACAATACAAATACATGATGAGAACATTAAAATAAAATAATTAGTATTTCAATGACCAATCAGGAATCTGTCTCAGTATATTCATCTACGAATATGATATCGTAGCAGGGCCGTAGGGCCTGTGCGTGCGTGCACGTGTATATGTCAAAATATCAGAATATCTATTCATATTTCAATGTAAATTTTATTTTTTACGGAATCGCGTGTGTTTTTACACGACCGAAAGTACTTATGTAATATTAAAAGTGTCGGCAGATAAAAGACGTTATTATTTAATGGTACTATTAATTTATTTAAAACTTTATTGCAAAAACAGCAAAAGGCGGACTTAATGCCGAGGGCATTATCTACCAGTCCACCGGACAGGAAGTAGGAGCGAAAAACGTACTATTGTACTATATTGTTTTTTTTAAACCCGGCCTTACGTTTATTGGCCGAGCGTTCTACCTCATCCCCACTCATTAGCAGGCCCTGCCATTCCAGTTCTCACTATTTTCCGCCCTTTCATTCGTCATTCCTTTTATTGTACTATATTGTAGTATGTACTATCGCAGCGATACTGACTGCAGCTGGGGCGCGCTGCCCCCGCCGGCGGCCAGCAGGCGCGCCAGCAGGTGGCGGCGCGGGGGCGGCACGTGCAGCAGCGCGGCCACGCCCGCGAAGGGGCCCGGCAGACCGCGGGCCCTCGCGCCCCGCCAGCGGTGCGCCGCGCGGGCAAGAATACGCTCCGCCGCACTCAGTTGCGGTAGACAACTGGCTTTAGGGTTGCCCCATTCGAATTCTTCCTCCTATTAAAGAAAAAGTAGCTGCTTACATTTTAAACCCAAACGAGAACACTATCTTTAGTTTTTTTTTTTAATAACTGACTTGAACTGAAGCTAGTAATGTCACTAAAAGAATAAAATTAAAAATTGAACGTCGAGACGGCGTCACTCAGAAGTTCGAAGTGAACGAAACAATGAAACACAAAATATTTATTTTTAATTCAGCGGCACTCGATCTTTTCGCCTCTAATAACTAATAGAAAAACGTTAATAGATGTTCAAAATTCGGATTCACATTTTATCATAATAACTTCATATGATAAATTCATATTCACTAAATTTATTTTGAAAACATCCTCAATCATCCCGTCCACAAAATGTATAGATAATATTATCTATACATTTCTATTCTTGATTGGTCTCTAGCTCTAAAAAATTTTTGACACATTAAGTCTCGCTAACAGCATCTCTGTCTCCCCCACTCTCTCCCTCCTCTCTTTATCTCTCTCTCTCTATATCTTTATCTCTTTCTCTATCCTTCTCTTTTCGGAATTTCATCTTGATCTTTCACTATGAACAGCTGTCAATAATTTACATTAATATTAATTCTGTATTTAATACCTTTATGAAAGTTTTATATATGTCAAGTAGTGTTTCGTTTTTCTCTCTCGTGTGAATAAATATCACAAACAACAAATGTGCAGTTTTTTTAATAAATGTAGTGAAAACTCCGTCTTACCGGTAAGAATTTCCCGTGCATTCTACTCCGGACCACATAGGCCGGGTGCAGAACCCACTTCCCCGCCGCTATGGACCCCAACATCTTCTCACTGCGCCCGGGCGCGGCGCACAGCAAGTGTGTCACATCGGGATCTAACTCGGCGCCGTCAGATACCTCGCCGCCTAGATACTGGATCATCTCTACTATTTCTTCACGATTCTGAAATACGTACGAGTAGAAATAAGGGAGATCGATGGCAAGCTTTTATGAATGTTGAGCTACAAACTCATTGTTCTAAAATGTATTTATTTTATTTAAAAAAAAAAAACGAACAATGTACAACGTGAAAGTGGAAGGATGCAGAAGTTGAGGAAGGCCACGACATGCTTCTCACGGTCAAGATTAGAGTGTCATTTTAGAAGCTATGAAAACTGGCGAGTATGTATGAAAAGAGTAATGAAAGTGGATGCGGTGAAAGATGAAGTTTGTAGCGTTCTGTCCTCTCTGCCTACGCCGTATGGTATACGGCATGAAGATATAGATGTACCCAATGATGTTTTAAAAAGTTAAGATGGGTTATCTGCGCACAACATTGACAAAAAGAATGCAAGGCAAATGCCGAGTTTCACTTTAGTCACGTTTCAGCAAGCGTTGTGGCTAATGTCATTTTCACTCGTCATTCTCTGTTAAAAGTTATGGAAGAAATGCCTTCCTGCGTGTTTATAGAAAGCACAAATTACACATTGACATTGAGAAAAGCAAAAAAGATATTATTTTATGCGCAAGTACTGTAATGACTATTTTTTATTCTAATAAAAATATTGAACGTCATTGAACGCGGCCGTTTTTTCGTGCATCGTGTTCTACTACTAGAAGAGAGGGGGGGTGGACACGTAAAGTTAAGCAAGTATGTTTATCTCGTTCTAACAAGAGGTATACTGTATAATTCAAATAGGGAGATAACTATTTTTGATTTCTCCGCGCCTTTTGTGGTTGTATTATAATGTAACGCTAACACAATAATTCATTGACTGCAGCTGTTTCATAATTTTATGAACTTACGAGTGAACAGAAATTATTTTTTTATCTTATCATTTAAAATAGATGATCCTGCGATTCTGTAAAAATCAGAATTCGAATTCACTCAGGCGTCCTAATTTCAACAAATCACTTCAAAAAGCGGCATCCGCTCAACCTTGAATTGGTAATAACGTTTCGTGGCATAAGTGAAGTGAGTTTCGAAATGACATAGAAATAGAATATTTGAGACACGTATTATAAATAAATAAATCAATATTGTTTTGTATTTTTATACAAAAAAATGTAATCAATAGAATTTCTACACTAAATGACGGCGAATTCGTTCGAATTTTTACAGTATCACCCTGCTAATATGCAGGGGATTACTATTTAGTCTTATAGATTACTCAAAACACAGGCAAACTTTTTTAGGCAAATGAGTATGTTTATTCTGCCACTCACATCCACATTGGACGACAACATGAATCGCCTAATCTTCTGCTCGGGTTCGGGTTCGTGTCCGGGTACGGGCGCGGGGAGATCACTGGCGGGCGTGGTGTCGTCCCATCCGACCGTGTTCGGTTGGGACTCCGGTCCCGGCTCCGTTTCAGGTGGGGCCACTGTATGTATTATAAAAACTTGTTACCACTTCACTTACCAAACGAAATGTATTCAAAGAGAACACAGTGACCAAATGTTATTTTTAGGGAAAGACTTTTAAAGAGAACAAGGGTGGGAAAAGAAAGGAGATTTTATTAAAGATCATGTTCATTATTGTTAATGATATTCATATATTTTTATTAAACTGTCTTACTAATAACTGAGACAAAAAAATATGCACGCTTTATTAAGTTAAAATTTTAATTACTTTAAAGCGACATTACCGATATAAATTTGATATAAATTAGAGCTTAAACGCGTCATTAAACTTTAATGGACGTTTGTGCAACAGACCGAATATCATCTAGAAATTGATTTATAATTAATAGGCGTATCTATTTGACTAATCTGACATTTGACACCATGGGGAAGTCACCCAATGGCAGGACGTGTTTCTAGTCATGTGATACACAGACAAAAAATCATGACTTTAATTTCAAGACTTCAAAATCAGAATATGTAAATTTCAGTTTTTTTACAATTTCGTACCGAAACCACCCTATATTCGAGAGGTACAACAAAACTGTGTGCATTGTCAACAAATATTGTGTACCTGGCACGGGTGTGGAGTCCCTGTTCCGGCGGGCGCGGGGCGTGCAGCGGCTGAGCGCGGCGCTGAGCCGCTGCAGCTGCGCGTCCACCGCGCCCATAGAACTGCTAGAGCTCCTGTCCCCCCCCTCACTTGCGACGATACTCACGCCGCCCGCGCTCTACCGCACGCGACAATCGCACCGATATATAAATCGTATAGGTAGGTCGAATCAAATAAAGCTAGTTTTGAATTTGAAATAAGAAAAATCGATCAGATTTCTATGGGTAATATTACCTCTGATCATAAAAGACAGTTACATTGTATTAATTCTAGGATTTCCGGCGTTAGCATATCTCTTATTTATTTTTGACAATCTACCCACTTCGCCGCTTTTGATACTATACGACTCATAGTATAATCAGGTCAATAGGTATGATTAGGAGATACCAATTAGATATCGATACCTATTTGGTATCGAATGGAAAGTATCGATTCTTACTTGTGTCGAATAGTTTTAAAATGCACCATCGTCGTCATTTTTATAGATTTTTAGAGCAGATTTAACACTTTTAATAATCAATAGCCAAGAGAAGCTGGTCCAAGCATAAAAAGCGATTAATGTACTTAGGTATTGCTTTAATTTTATCAGCAGTATCATGTCTAGATTGTTCTCTGACTACATTAAATTAGTAGGGGTTAACCACAGAACACGGAAAAGAGGTTAGAAAGGTGATCATGCATCCTTTGTACGAAAACCGATGTAGCCAGTCTTGCCCCACTTTTAGTCCGCCGTACATCAGACGAATAATTAGACCAATTATACAAAAGATATGCACACACTTGTATTTTAAACATGCCAATCAGAACGCTCCAATATAACTATAACCAATCACGCTCAACCATAACAGACATCTATAGTGCGCAATTTGACATATCACACTAGTGATTGACATAAAGTTATTTACTATCGATATTGAAAAACAACAAGTCGATTAATTGAAAGGATACTAGATTAATGATTTCTTTATATTATATTGGATATACATTGAATTGTATTGATTAAATGAGACATTATCTTTTTTCTTTAGATATAAATTCTTAATTAGTTGGTTGATTCAATAAGAAATATTTAAATTACTAATGAACTAACATTGAATCGGTACTAGTCGAGCTTAAATATATGCATATAATTATTAATGATAATATTAGGTTTTTTTTAAGTTATGTTACTGGATTTCGTATCAAGTAAACAGATAAGATCGGCAACATCGCTTAAATGAAACTAGTAATATTGACAAACAATATAATGTAAATAAATATATACAAAATAAAAAAATACTACCAGTACAATAAATGCTATTGGAACTTATCCTGAACAGACTCTGATGATTTAAAAAGTATTGTTGTTAATGGTTCAAAATAAAAAATAAAAAAACTAGTTTTCTGTTTCAATAATAAGAATATAAAAAACAGACTTATTACCACACTCATTATTAAATTAATATACAAACGCATTCCAAACGAAGTCAATATGGTTAATCTCTGATAAAATTTATTTTTTATTACCACTATTTTTATTGTCCATACTTTTATTTAGTTTTTACTACCTAACATACCAAGAATCGATTACATGTTTCCAGGCACTTCACTACCCATCTACCGTAATCTATTATGTTGTTATTTAAAACGGTAATTTCGCGATATTCATTACATTACGTGCTTAGTACGACGCAATGTAATAAATATGCGCACTTCTCCAGCAATCTTTGAAATATTTTTTTATTTTCTTGGAAATATTTTTTGTGATTCACACTTTTGATAACATTTCACGATTTTCGACTAAAAATACTAAATTTGAGAAGTGTTCTACTTAATAATGGAAAGAAATCCTTCCTTTGGACCAACTTGAGGATGGGTTTCTTGTTTTGCAATTAATAACTGCGAAAGTCGGCATTTTTAACACTTTTAGTGGCGTGTTTCACAGTACTTACAGCGCGCGCGTTCGTGAATGACTAAACATCGCGATCGCGCGGTGAACTCACGATCCTGTACATTTGTCTAGGATCGTGGCTGCACTGCCACGCCCACAAGGCCCTTCTAACGTCTTTCTGTGTTCTGTGGGGTTAACAATGCTAACTGTCATACGACAGATATGCCACATCTGTGCGAATATTTAATGAGTCTGACTTTAGATGCCTTACCACAGCGTAAACGGTTTTAGGCACGAGAGTTTTTTTTTACACTCCTCAGTCCGTGATCGACCGAGTACCGATACAAATATGTAGTTTACGGCACTACTTGTTAGTCGTTTCTAAAATATTGATTCCAAAAGTACTTCATATAAAAAAAAAACTCGAATAAGTACTTGTACTTACTCGTATCATTTCATCCTTAGGGATGACTACTATTTTTTTTTGTTTGTCCGACGGGTAAAAATAAATATTTTATACTCGTCTTTGTATCGAAATAAAAGTATCGAGTGAGTACTTGTATTTACTCGTTTCATTTCATCCTTAGGGGCAGTCCATAAATTACGTCACACAAAATTCATGTTTTCTATACAAACTCTACTAAATAATGTTCTAATGTCACAGTTTGTTGACCCTCCCCCCCTCTCCTAACGTGTGACGTAATTTATGGATGGCCCCTTAGTGATGACGACAATTTTTTGGTTTGCCCGACGGGTAAAATCATATATTTTATACTCGTAGCGGTCATTGCAAACAGCGTGTGATGTCACGCTCCTCTTACTCATATCAGAACTTAGAAATTTCAAACTTATGCATACATAGAAGGACATTAGTTACAGAGGGCCGTGACGTCATATCGACGCCATGGCGTCGTCGCGGGAGATTTAGAAATTTTTTTTTTTTTTAATTTAAATTTTTTATTTGAATTTAAATTTAAATATTTTTTTATACACATGTCATGTATATTTATGAAATAAAAATATTTTAAAAAGTTGTCTACACCCCACATTAATTATTTTAGAAACCCACTTACTTGTTCTGCTGATATTTTTGGCATTTTCGCTGGTGGCGTATCAGCTTCTTCCTATTGGAACAAATATATTTTTTTAACTTCTTATATTTTTTAATATCTTAATGACCCCACTAGAATATAATAGAGATAAGGGCCATAACACGGCACCAGTTGGTGGGTGTCAACTAACTCTACTAGTTCTCGAGTCTTAGCGAGACAAACGAACAGCAATAGGGAGTATGCGTTCAAAAAAGGGTTAAATATATTCTATTAATTCCCTTGAATAAACTCGATGTAAACATTTTTCAACATTAGTTCAATTTCGTCTTGAAAATAATTATTATAAAGCGCAAAAAATGCGGCAACTTCTCTAAACATTCGAACGCCATGCGACTTGTCAGAGCGGATGTGACGGAAATGTACAAGTATAAGGAAATCGTCGTTACAAAAAGTTAACATCGATGCAATAACATCAATGTATTATGTCGCAAAATAAACAACAGATTACAATTTAAATTATGTTTTAGGCTTTTATTTTTATTTCACCAATTTGGTAAACTATATGATTATTAAAAAAAAGTCTATTATACTTTAAAAATTCGATTAGTTCTTAATCGACCTGAGTAATTGAATAATAATCGATACCTCAAAATCCATGTTGATTTAAAATGTCATATACTTTGACGTCACAACAAGCGCGCCATAAATTTCGGTGTTTAAACTGCTCGTAGCATTTCTTATTTTCATCAATTATTAATGTTACAAAATTTTAGATTTTCGGTACCGGATATATTTTTCCAATGATATAACGTTGTAAATTTTCATATGAAAATTTTCAAAAAATGAACATATTGATTTTTTATACATAGAAAGATAGATTAAATACAACCAACTGCAAAGACCGGAGAATGGATTCCTATTATTTATTTAATCCCTATACATATGTACTAGATGTTGAATTTCTTAAAATATATTACCTGAAGGTTTAATTTCCTAGGAGCGAGAGTATGTTCGGATGTAGGTACAGGCGATTCGCCGTTGAACTGCGCCAGGAATCTGTTGCGTATCTCCGATAGAGGCTGCAATAATAAATGAATATTATAATTCGACGTTCATTTCCTATCTAGATAAGAGTAGGATATATCACATAACAATCAATATTTGTTAAGCATATTGGGTTAAGTGGGCATCTAAATAAAAAGATCTAATTTTTTTGGAATGCTCTCGTTATACACTAAAGGTCATACTAATAAGCAATGTGTGGCGAGCTATCCGCCCCAATTTTATACTTGGGCAACCGCCCTACAATTTAACCCGAAAACGCTCCGCTTATGCGCTTTGGACCAGCGGCGATGACTGACGTCACTCATTATCGCCGGGCGTATGCGCATCCTTGTCGCACGCGCTCGCTTGGTGATGATGCGTGCCTGCTCGCGTTGTCGCGCCGTCGGCCGAACAAAAACTACTTTGCATATAGCTTTGCTTGCGCATGACCGCCGTTTCACTAATAATTAATAATTCGCATATTTTTACAATTTTATAAGTTCTTTTCATGTAATTCAATTCTATTCTGTGTGCGATCAATATATCTTTCATTCTTAGTGCTTGTGCTTCTTTCCTTTCTCGTGAACTGTGTCGTTTTGTGCTGTCTAAATTGAACGTTAATACCGGGTTAGACTCCCGAATTTTATGTGGGATTATAACTTCTCATATCCTACGTATAAGCGTTTTATAGTTATATAGTGTTTTGTCTTTTTCACTCAAACTAAAAGTCAAATTTGAATGACGTGAACAGAGCTGTGTAATTTAACAATGGTTTTAAATTTCGTATTAGTAAGGATATATATTATGTATTATTAAATCCATAAATCATGTATTATTTGCATTTAAAGGAAGATTACAAAAAATATGTTTTTCATGAATATATTTTATTCTATAATTAATTTAAAATAAATTTTGAAATATTGTTAATACCCGGATATGCCAGATCGGATGTGATGACAAAATATTTTTTTTTGCTAACAGAAGATACAGTGCTCGTAGCAAGTAATCTACTCGGGGAGTGCGTTAATTGAGAAAAGCAGACTGTAATTCTTTTCTGAACGAAGTAGTTTTTAAGATACACACTCTATCGCACCATCTCGCTCGCACACTGTCCTGATTAATACAATTTAAATATTGGTTTTAAAAACTTATCCTATAAATAACTCACCGTATGTTTTTCTTTTGGTGTCTGCTCTTTACTAGGCAGATCGTTGACGAATTTCCAGAGCCGTTTCCGTGCGTCCGGCGACAGGCGGCCGGAGCCAGGCCGTAACGCCGCGCCGAACGCGCTGTCCGGCGTGTCCGGATTTTTGTCAACTAATATTCGGACAGAGTAAGAAAGATACGATCACTACGAACTTGAACAATCTATTTTGAACATCAGTTCAAACGCATTAAGGTTTAATATAATATAAAGAATTCTGGAAAAATTCGGATTGAGAATATAAATCCACTTCAGTCTTATATTTCGATGTTATTTTATTTTCAAACAATAGAATCACATAACTCTAACCTACAAACAAGTTATTTCAGCAAATTATTAGATTTCTTTTTCGACACCCTACATTAATGATAGACCAAACGTGGACTGCCATATCATAAAACGTTGACGTTAAACGATACAATCAGTTATTATTTATAAATATTTCAATGATTAAAAAAAGATCTATCTTTTGCATTTAGTGCTATCTACATTTTCTGTTTTCAAATGAAGTCACACGGGAGTTATTTAGAAAAGGTTTCAGCGCATTAGCAATTTGAGGGACTAGTACTTTGCAAAATTTAATATTTATAGAAAGAATATATTGCTATTAATTCTAAATTTAATAATAATTTGAAAAGCTCTATATTTTGTTTATATGTAAATGTTATATACGATAAAAAAAAGTTAAAAATTTAAGGGTTAGTATTGTTACAAAAAGGACAAGGAAAAAAAATGAAAATCGCATAGAAATTGAATCTGATATTATTGCAACATCGGCGCGCATACTTTTTTGCGGCGCGTTGGTACAACAGACCGAGTTAAGGGAAACAGTGCATATAATTAATCTAATTTTACAGAGGATTAGCGAGCAAATTTTTTTGTCCTTAATATCTCGTTTATTAAAATAAACAGAAGCCTTTGAATCGACATGTTACGGTTTTCAACAATAGATAGAGCAATTCTTGAGAAAGGTTTTAGTGTATAGTAAGTTTAGGTTTTGTACAGACTGACGATGTTACGACAATATTAGTTAAATATGTCGGAAACAATAAAGCCGATCGGAAGCTTTCCTCGAACACGCTGCCAGAAACTTTTATAACAAAACTTTGTATGGTGGAATTGTACCTCTTTAATAAATTTCCAAAAAAGTCCGTGGTTGTATATGTCTATATTCAAAACATAACTCACAATAACATTTTTTTACGTATCCTTAAAATAGTAAAATGATGGGTTATTTACGAACCTATTTTTAACAATACAGTATTGATCCTTATTCAAATAAATAAATAAGATATGTTATGCATGTAATATAGATCAAAATTGCCTTTTACACTATATCAAAAAAATAAATAATAACTAATGAATTATCGAAAAATAAAAATCTCCGGGCGAGCTATTAAATATCGATGAATAAAAATGAATCGCCGAAACATATGTACACGCATTACTTCCGAATTCCAGTTCCGACTGCACCAAATCGGATGATTTATGTATTTATTTAATCTTTATTGCCAAATAACAGCAAATGGCGGACTTAATGCCAGAGGCATTCTCTACCAGTCAACCGGTGAGAATAAACAGAAAATTTGTAACGCAGTAACAGTGATAGAGAATTAGTATTCTGACGTAATTCATGACACGGTTTGTATAAGAGATAAAAAGAAAAAGGTCAGCTAGTGAGTAAATAAATCGCACGTTGAGAATGTCAATGTCACTAACCAAAAACGATGTATTTTTTACTTTTGGCAACATTTTTCTTTGTTAAGTATAAGCTTTAAAATGCAAAGATCCCAGTGAACGTAGCCTGCATAGAAACTGCTAGGTGGCATAATGACGATACGTTGTTTAGAGAGGCTGACTACAATTTCTTTAACTTTAAACGCTCATTACCAGAGGTCGGAATTAGGTAGAGTTATTTATGTACTTGCATCGAAATGTTGATATTAATGTGGACCTTCCCGGGATTTTTTTATTTCTTTCATTGATGTAAGTTTGGCAACGTCGTGCGTGTAGTAGTTTAAATTGTGTAAAAGTAAATAACTTTTTATTTAAAAAATCAAAAGGATTTTTTCTGCTCTTTAAAATTAACCTCGGGATTTGAGGCATATCCACTTAATTCCTTCGCTGTATGAAATCAGTGTAAGTACATGAATAACTCTACCTAATTCCGACCATTGCTCATTACTCAAAATCACAAGTTTTGCATTGTGTCACTGTCGTTCTCAACGTACGAAATGTTAAGCGTTAGTGCACTGACATGGGTCCGCCGGGGTCCGCACGGGGTCGGAGGGCATCTCCCCCTGGCGCAGCGCGCGCAGCCGCCGCCGCGTGGTGGGGCTCAGCCGCGCCAGGTTGGGGCTGGACAGCGCCTCCTCCAGCGGGGGCGTGCGCAGCGGCGCGCCCTCTACACAACCGTCATAGGCCCTTATACGTGTCCACTGCGGGAGCTCAGTATGGTTAAGGAGGATGAGCCGCAACCCCCCGCATTGTGGGTATTAGCGCCCTGCTAATGCTACCGGGACCGGCGGCTTGACGTGCCTTTCCGAAGCACGGAGGAGCTCGACATAATACAGTGAACGTAAACAAACACATATTACTATTTTTTCTAGTAGTGTTTAATATATTGTTACCGATAATTACACTTTTATTATATTCTTATAATATTGTTAGCTTCCCATAAATTAAATATTTTTATCGGTATAGATTGAGTTCATGTAAACATATCATATACTCATAATACAAAATTAGGTACAGCAGAAACAGATAGTACTGACAATCATTTTCACGACTCCACAGTCCATTTTAGACTTTAATTTGAATTACTAAAATAAAATTTCGGGACTTTCGATTAATCTGACACCGGCGTACCTTGTTTCGCATCTTCTTTCAAGTCTTGCATTCTCTTGGGGGTTTCCTGTGAGTCGCTACCGAGTAGACCTTGACGTGCCATCGCGATATAACGCGACGCGGGCGACATGTCCTCAGGATCTGTGCATATCACAAAAATATATCAAGGTTCAAAAGATAGACAGACGGATAGATAGCAATCTTAGTAATAACCCTGTGACGAGTTCGGTGCTTGCATCATATCTTCTAGATCAGGGGTTCTGAAACTTATTTCGTTTACCGCCCACTTTGGGAATAAATTATTTTAACGCCTCATTTTTTCACCTACTTAAAACCACTGTAACTTCAAATTAAATTAATTATTGTGAGCTACATTAGCGGAGATTATATATACGTTCTAAAGTAGGTAGGATGCAAGTCCTTTGTTTACTCTTCTTAAGTCTGTACAATATTTTTGGGCCACTTACAACCACACTTGCCCACTTTAGGAAAGGCTGTTCTAGATAAATCCTTTCTTGATGCAAATTTATACACATACACTTCATAAATACAGCTCGTAAATTACAGCATAGATTTAAAATATACATGCTAAAAACTTTTTATTAAAAAAATGGAACCATATTCAAATTTAAAATCTATTAAAAAAGTGAAAAATAATACTTTTATTAAAAGCGGTTAATTTTTTAAAGAAACGTTGTAGTCGGGCTGAGGTTTTCTGTAGTTAATTAAATATTACCCGCCGTTTTTATTTTATGCATTTTAGTGATATTTTGAATTTTGGGGTAACAAACGTCACGCATACTTAATGCAAATTTAAGACTTATATGGTTTTCTCTTAGATGCCATTGCCAGATCAAATTAAAATGGGACCACACGACTAACACTAGCTTTCAAATAAAGAAAGAATCATCAAAATCGATCCACCCAGTAAAAGTTATGAGGTAACATACAGAAAAAAATACAGTCAAATTGATAACCACCTCCATTTTTTTGAAGTCGGTTAAAAATATTTCGTTATTTTCAATGAAGATCACGCTGTTGCCGGAATATTTTTTTATGAGCTCACATTCAGAAAGAGTATATCGCGTTACCTTTAAAGATCAAAGACAAAAAGTTTGGATGCGGAAACCTAGGGCAAAATAATTGGGTACGAAAAACTAGGCTAAAAATCAATCTGCTCACATATTGAATGTAACTTAGTGTGAACTTACCTAAGTTTTTGCTTTTAGGCGTGCCTTCTCTACTGGGCACAGAGAGTCTTCTGGGTACCGCCGCTTTTATCGGTGGTAGCATTTCATTCTCTTTGTCTTTAACTGTTGTGTCCGTTACTTCTTCTATAGGCTTATTAGGTTTTTCTGGTGAAGGGGGAGCTAGAAACGAACATAGTGTTTACTCATTTTGGTTTTTTATTTACATTTCTCATTTACAACGATAATATTGAAATTTATCTTATAAATAAAATAGAAAATGGAGGAATGAATGTCCAATCAGATTAAGCGACCTTTTAAGCCATTTAAAATGATCCAGTTCAGTATTATATTTGCTATAATTCAACATTTTAAAGTTCGTACATGGTAAAGTAATATATTTGCATATGCGTTAGTTTCAAAAGGTCAAGAAAGGGTCAGTGGCCAAAACTGAGTCATCTACCATATTTGGTATCGGTTACTTTCACTGATTCCAAACCGATAAGCGTTTTCACCTTCTAAATTATTTTAGACTAAAACAAAAAAAAACACCCAAATGCGCATCACATATACACTTTAAATTTCTAAAACACATTTTTACACACACACCTTTGGTGTCACCGACTAGATATTCCCTCTCGCTCACCCTCTTGCCTTCCTTTGCACACTGGAGCAGCCACGTCGCTTTGACGGCGGGCAATCCCCATTTGACCGCGCCCAAGTACTTATCCCCAGTGGGAGTGGGACATATAAGATGAGTCGACGCTAATGCATTAGCTGTATTTCGTCTACAGAAGCGAAGTTGCGTGCTGGAAACATAATAATATAATACTAAATCGATATGTATATGTATTAACTAGCTTTCCGCCGGCAGCTTGGCCCGGGCCCTTATTCCGTATGACAATCGAAATCTTACCACGCGAAAACCATGTCAATATCAAATCTTGCCCTAACTATTTCACGGTAAAGAATCTGCTGAATCATTTTCTTCGTATAGTCCAAGCTGTATCTACCGATAGGCAGCGTTGTCTTCATCGCCGTCTTATGTCACCTATTTGCTATCCTTATCTAATTGGAATGTTTAACTTTCAGTCCTGCGTTTCTGTAAAAATCCAAACCCAAATTCGGATCCACTCATATGTTCGGATTCATGTCATTTAGCGTAGTAATTCTATTGATCACATTTTTTGTATAAAATCACATAACAAAATTGATTCAATATACGTGTCTCAGATATTCTATTCCTATTGTTTTGATTGGAAGCGAGGGTTTGGTGTCTTCAATTATGCTCAGTTCTTTATAGTTCGAATAATGCGTATATTTCATTATAAATTACAATGTTTCGTAGAATATAATTAGTTATTTAAAAAAAGGCGTATATAATGACGAGAGAAAATTTGAATGTGAATTAAAAAAAAATCTTTGAACGAAAATTAGAAAGGCGATCTATGTGTCCACAGTTGACCAATAAGAGCTGTAGCGAACTTTCATTTCATGCAACTCGCTCTGGTTGTTGCCTGAACACCTATGTCATTTCGAAACTCACTTCACTTATGCCACGAAACGTTATAACCGATTCAAGGTGGAGCGGATGCCGCTTTGTGAAGTGATTTAAGACACCTGAGTGAATTCGAATTCGGGTTTGGATTTTTTTGAATCGCAGGGCTGATCTTAGTAAGATAAATTCGATTTGTTTTTGCTGAAAGAGGCTATTTTTGCTGACTGATCTATTAACGCACACCTCAAACTACAGAACGGGAAAAGCTGAAATTATGACATACTTCATCATCACCATTATCGGCTCTGCTTTATCTCACTCCTTATGGATAGTCAACCATAACTCTCCAGGCTACTCCATTAACGACCACAAATGCAGCTGGGACCAATGGCTTAACGTGCATTGCGAAGCACGTAGTTACTCGAGACAATTTGGGTCACCCATCCCGTGACAGACCCTTGCGGAAGTTTCTTAACAATTGCGTTCGCGGGCCGCGGCGCTAAACCACTACGCCACCGAGCTTCTCTTATTTACACAGTTTAAAGCTAGTTAAATAAATATATTGATGACTCACGTAGCGCCTAGTAATTTGGCCAACTCGTCCAGGAATGCCCTCTCTATGCCGCTGTATGTACTAAGACTTGCTACTACCCCCTTCAGAGGCGGCGTGTCATTCCACTGGGCAACCTTCACCGGTCTGTGGTAGTACTGAATGTCTACTAACTCCTGCTGCGATAAACAGTCTTTCTGCGAACGATATTATACAAATTGCCATGACGTTTATTTATATAAATATACTAGCTGACCCGACAGACTTCGTCCTGTCAAAAAGATTTGTAATGTGGCAGTTTTTTTGCCTACGTATTTAAAAAAATTCTCCTGAACAGAACCGTCACCCTGGTGATAGGGCGTTGTGAATAAAAAATAATTAAATAAAACATATATAAGGATTTAAAAGTAAGTAATCGCTTTATTGTTAATCATGTGAATCATAATTATTATTGCAATGTATTAATAGTAATAGTATTAAATATAGAAAAAAGAGATTTTTATGATCATAAAAACACATTACACACAACAGCATTATAAAAGTAAACTATTCGAATTAAAAAAATATATAAACATTCTCAAGGAAAAATGCTGGAAGAATCCATCTACCTGTACCCCGGAATGGGACTCGAACCCATTCGCGATCCAGGGACTGCTCTAACCAATGAGCTATCTAGGACCCAACAGCTTTGCTACTACAGAGCGTATTTTCATCAATGTTCCGGCAATACATGTAATGACGTGGAAACTGATGCATTTTATCTCGCGTGCCGAAACTAATACAAAAGAAACGCGAGTTTCGGAACGCGACATTAAACTCCTCCAACTATGTATTCTGTGCTCCAACGCACACACGCACATTGTTTTGTGATAGATATGATCTTTGACGTTAGGAACACACCTACATTGCTTAGACAACAGTGAGTGCTTGTAATTTAATATGAACTTTATACCATAGCAATAAAGCTCAAATTGACTACGTTTTAGTTACAAATCATTTGTATGGGAAAAAGAAAAGGGCTATTTTTAGGGTTTTTCCAGCAATAATTCTAGCAATTTTTCTCGCCGTAAAAACCATCCTTGAACTTCAACGAACATTTTAAAAAAAGATTTGGCCAAATTGGTCGAGGCGTTGTTGAGTTATGCGCTTACCAACACATTTTGCGATTCATTTTTATATATATAGATATATACCGCCTGCATTTAAAATGACTCTCCAAATTTTTTCTAGGCATTAGGTATCGTTAATAGATCACATATATGAAAAAAAAACAGTATGTAAAATTTTCAAAATGAAGTGTTAACTTTTTGTAATTACAAGATAATTATAACATTCGCATTGTCACATTAGTTATGAACGAAACGAGCAGGGGTAGCAAGGGGCGCGGGCGCAGGGGATGCGCCGCGCATGCGCCGCGCATGCACCGCCGACGATATCTGCTCGGTTTTTTATTTAGTCGGCAACATCAGTCACCCGCGCATAATCCCTTTGAACGCACGCGCTTCCGCCTTTGCTTCCGTGTTGCGCGCCACCCGCCGCAGCCCCACACTTCGCGCGTCGGAATGTATTCCAATCGCGAATATTACGAAATGGTGCGGTGTTACATTTTAAGCGGTGAAAGTTTAAATGCAGCTCGGAGACTATACGAAACAGAATCCATCCCAGCCCTGCAAAATCAGGGATTAATAAACCCCGCAGTACCTAGTCGCGAGACATTTTTGGCTGTGAACCAAAGGCTATTGGACTATGGTCAATTTACTACGCCTGCTCACGCTCGCGGAGGTGGAAGATCAAGACTTGCAGTTGAAATCGAAGATGAAATCTTGGATTTCTTCGAAAGGGACCCGCGAGCCAGTACACGAGATGCCGCACGCCGATTTAACGTAAGCCACTATGCCGTGTGGAAGCTGCTGAATGTGACAGGGCTACACCCTTACCACTTCCAAAAGGTCCAAGCTCTACACGATGGAGATAATGTGCCCCGTCGCACCTTTTGTGAATGGCTGATTGCACACCCTAATGCCAACATTTTGTGGACTGACGAAGCATTGTTTACTCGTGTGGGGCTTTATAACCATCATAACGAACACTGGTGGTCCTTCAGAAATCCGCATATGATTCGGGAAACCCACCATCAAGTGCGCTTTAGTGTCAATGTGTGGGCCGGTGTTATAGGCACGAAAATACTGGGGCCGTACTTCATCGAAGGGCCGCTCACCGGCGGCAACTTCCTCGATATGTTGCGGCATGTCATTGCCGATTTCATGGAGGACTTGCCCGTGGCCTACTTCCGGGACTTTTATTTTCAACTGGACGGTGCACCACCCCATTACGCCGCCGCCGTCCGAGATCATCTCACCATAGAATATGGTGATCGATGGATTGGACGCGGAGGCCCCATCGTGTGGCCTGCTCGATCGCCGGACCTAACACCGTGCGACTTTTATTTGTGGGGTGAAATCAAAAGACGTGTGTATTTTGAAGAAGCACAAAGCCTCGAGGACTTAAAAGTGCAAATTAGTGCGGCATTTGACCACGTGAAAAATGACACTGTAGTGCTCGCCAAATTAAAAGACAATGTGCAAAAACGTGCAAGACTCTGTGTGGAGAGGAACGGTATGCACTTTGAACAATTATTAAAGTATACGTAGGTAAATAGTTAAATTAGGTAGGATAAAGTGATTAGTTGATTATGTACATAAAGTTGATGATTTTTTAAATACGCCTGATTGCAAAGAATATCTAGTTAAGTACCTACTTTTTTTATTATTGGTTTAACTAAACAGAATTTTAGGTAACTTGATATTTGCTTACCTACTTATTTATAAATTTAAAGCAGTATAGTTATTGTAATAGTAGGTATCTAATAGAATTTTTGCAATTTGACGGTCCTAAGCCCGTAAAAGTATGAAGGAAAGGTTTCAACTTTATGTACCATTTGCCCTAGCATAAAAAAACGAAAACATTTTAGGTAGCTGCTACTAACTCGCAAACGTACTTGTATTACTATCAATGAATTGCGGGAAGGGAGGGGGGGGGGGGAACTAACGTAGCGCGTAAAGCGCACGTACTGGGCAGCGGGAGCGTCCACAAATGTATGTTTTTTGAAAATAACTTGGTGACGATATAACTCAACATTTTTGTTCTAAACGACATAAAAAGAAAAAACACGTATTTCATTATTTGTCGTAAAGATTAACATACTAAAATTTGGAGAGTGGTTTTAAATGCTTCTTGTATATATAATCTTCGGAAACGCAACTTCAGAAAGAAAAGCGTTAGAAATAACAAAGCACAAGAATTTCAATCATGGGAATGGGTTTAAATTGGGCCGTCCATTAATCACGTGAGGCTAGAAAGTGGAGGGGGGAGGGGATTCGTCAAAAATCACGAAATATCACAAGGGATGTGGGGGGTGTAGTAATAAATCACGTGTAATTATTTTATTCTCGACGAGCGATTTTTAAACCGATAAGTGACGTCAAAAATTAAGATTTTTTGTTTTTTTTTAATACACGTGATCTGGTTGAACAAGAGAGGGGGTAGTCTTAAACCTCACCATGTATCATCAAAGGGTTGTGGGGGTCAAAAAATGTTGAAAAAAAACATCACGTGATTAATGGACGGCCCCAAAGGGTCTGGAATCCATGGTTGGCATTTATCAAAACAAGAAGATAAATTTAGAAAAGCTGTCGTTTCGCATTCCGATACAGTGAATGTTGTGTGTTGAGAACAGCCTTGTGATTCCGTAAAAATCCGAACCCAAATTCGAATTCACTCAGGTGACTGAATTCACTTCGAAAGTGACGTCCGCTCAACCTTCAATCGATAACGTTTCGTGGCATAAATGAAGTAAGTTGTAAAATAATATAAGTTAGGATATCTGAGATACGTCTATTAAATAAATCTTGTTTCGTATTTTTATACAAAAACTTCAATCTATAGAATTGCTACTAAACTAAATGACGTGAAGTCGGATACATGAGTGAAATCAAATTCACGTTCGAATTTTTACGGAACGCTCTGCAGGTGCGAGTTAGTGGTGACATAGACAACGTGATACGGGTATCGAACGAAAAAGGACTAGAAAGAAGGTAGATAGATGTATTTGGCTATGACACCTACCCTTCAGTTACCTTCAAAACCTTCAGTTACCCCGCGAACATGGCGCTTGCAATAGCGCCGAAATAACTCAATAAAAAAAGGTATATCATTCTAAATAAACTAAATTACTTTCCCTAAAACAGTCAAGTAACTTTTCACTTTACTTAGTTAATTCACTTTAATAGGGATGATGACTGGGTAAAAAAAATGCAATTCTATTTAGTCCGTCAGTCAGATAATAGAAAAATATTAGATACATATTTTTTTTTACTTCAATTTAACAAGAAATAGCTTAGATAACAGGCATTAAAGTTGAGGAGTGGGGGCACGCTACGTCACAGTTGAGTAGAAAACGTACTCTAACGTGACGTCATGCGAAATTTCAACTCCATGTAACGCCGTAATTTTATGATTACGAAAAAATAAAAAAATACGTGTTTAATATTTTTTAACACTCTACCTGACGGACAAACAAACAAAAATTAGTCATCATCCCTATTGCATGCAGGAAAATTTACATAATATTATATGCATAATATTTATCCGATATTTATCATGTATATAAAAAGCTAATATTTTTAAGCTACTAGTGGTTTTCTTTAATATTTATTCTTTAATACGATATATCAAAAATGTAAAATAAATGTTGGGTTTGATTTATTTAATATTTGTTATATTTTGTCAATTTCGCATTAACAATGCTATACTGAAAAATTAACTTAATGTTAAATGCTTAAAAATTCCACTTGGTCCACTTGGTCCCTGGCACCCCGAGATGAGAGCTGTCGCCCGGATTGCGAAAGGTAATCGGTTCGGATATCATTATAGGGTGTCAGGGACCAAGTGGATTTTTTACGCATTTTTCATTAAGATTATTTAATATATGTTGGTCTATTATCGCAATTACTAGAAAAGGGGCCGTCCATTAATGACGTGGTGTCTTTTCGGCATTTTTTAACTCCCCTTCTTCCTCTTGGTGATACATGGTAAGGTTTAAGACTACCATCCCCCTCCAACCAAATCACGTGTATTTTTAGTATCTATAAAAACACTTAATTTTTAACGCCGCTTTTCGGTTTAGTAATCACGCATTTAAGGGAAATAAATACACGTTATATATACATCTACACCCCCCTTGTGATATTTCATGATTTTTGATTGATCTCCTCCCCCCTTTCGAGCCTCACGTGATTAATGGACGGTCCATAAGTAAGTTTGTTACTTCGCGTCAATATTGCCAACATCATATTGAGTTGGTTAATTTTCTAGCTGAGACTCAAAACTCAATCAATCGATATATATCATGATATATAATAAGATACATATGCGTTGACATGATATTTATCATCGAACCCTGGGCACAGTGCAAACTCACCAGCCAGAAGACGGTGACCGCTTCGGCGCCAGCGGTGACGAGTTCCGCCCGGTCGAAGTCCAGCGGCACCAGCACGTGCGTGCCCCCCGCGCCCGCCGCCACCACCGCGCCCCCCGCCGCGCCCACCTCCGCGCCCACCTCGCAGATCGCCTCCTCCTCCAACCCCTGCACCTCTATCTTAAGCCCTGCCGGACCATCAGACGAACGAACGATCGCTTTATGTATACAAGGGCGTCGTCAACTCACGACACGAATTAATGTTGTTGAGGATAAGGAAAAAGAAAAATCTGCCGAATTATTCGGTTTCGGTCCCGAATATATTTACTCTCACCATTGAAACCTTGGCCCAGCCGTTCCCGAGTTAAGCGAGAAAAATGAACAGCAATTTATTTTTATATAACAGATAGATTTTAAAAACCAAACAACAAACCGTTTGTTTTCCACACGTATGAATACACGTATTCAGAGTCGCCATATATTGATAAATTTTAAAACTGTGTCTTGAAAGACTCATGTCTAATTTCGATCTCAAAATTAACTTTTCGTCTAGTAATGTGATATATCTCAAAATAAAGCTTATTTTTTACTTATTTCATATCGTGTAATTAAGTTTTAAAATAAAATCACGATAAAAATTGCAAGGCTGATAAATATTTTAAAAAGCTACCCCTATGCGATTCGGACCGTACAATAAGGGATTGCTACGTTCCGTTTCCGTTTCATGTCGAAAAATATTCTTTCGACATAAGGTTAAAAAGTGCACATTAATAATTACATATTCATTTATTTCCACATTTACGAGTCAAACCATAAAAAGCTTTTGTTGTAATACATCCATTTTTAAAGCTTGAAGCTTCATAGTTTTCTCGACTTTTGACAGCTCAAATTATTTACAAATTACGAATCTCCCTGGCCTGCAGATGAAAAGATGCTAAGACATTATTCTATTTTAGCAAAAACAAATTCTAATTATCAATAACGGTGGGTAAACGCGACCTTTAAAAAAAAAACATGTCGCAGGTCAATCAATGTACGAAAATTGGACATTATTTTTTGTAAAACCACACTTACCCCTGAATATCTGCTCTATCTCTTCTGTAGGTTCTTGTGTGAAATCTGTAACGTCAGACCGTTGATTCGTTGTATTTGTTGTAGGCTGTTCAGGTTCGGATTTTTCCTTTAACGGCTCTAACCCTGGCTCTGGCATGGGTTCTATAAAATAAATACACTATGTATCATTAATGTCCCTTCCCTATGGATGGAATAAAATCGAATAGGGAGGATGGTTTGAATAATCTCTCCATCAAGCAGAAGACAGCAAAAAATGGAGAAGTCTGCTGCAACGTTTCCATCGAAGCCACGATCTTCAGCACTGAGGGACCGACTTGAAGAGGAGGAGATAGTATGGGCAATCATCCACCACTCGAACTCTGTGCGGATTGGTGGGTTTTAACGACTGCAGATGCATGGGGACCAACGACTTAACGTGCCTTCCGAAGCACGGAGGAGTTCAAGATGTTAAATTTTTGGTCACCCATCCAATGACCGGCCACTGCGAAAGTTGCTTGACAACCGTATCGCAGACCGAGCATGCTAACCACAACTCCTATTTATGTACTTATGAGTTTTATTTTAATGTCCCTTGAGTCTAAAATACTCTTAAACGCTATGATGCACAAGTTCATAAACCAAAGAGTAAGATCATTCATAAACAGAGAGAAAAATAATATACCACAAATAAACATGACATGCGACAAACTTGACAGTGGCAGTGGATGATTATTTTATCGCAATTTAAGTTTATCGAATTTTCAGTTTCTTTTTGATACTAACATACAGTAAATACATCGGAATTGCTTAAGGGTTAGGCATAATGTGGTGATACTGTGCTCGCCGTGTGATATGTGGTCGCAAGACTATGCTAGCCGATATTCATAACAAGAAAGAATCATAATTAATGTCTAAACTTAAAGAAAAATTCACTTCGAATCTCGAAACAGAACAACATTTCATGTCGAGAATTTTTATTGGTAGGTAGGTGGAATTATGGTGGTATTGCGCTGTAGGTACGGTCGGCCAAGAAAGTGGTCTACCAGTTTTGACAACATTTCCCGTGTCTTTAAAGCATCGCTAAAGGCGAATCTTAGAATTGCATACAAACAATAAAAGAGATGCACAATGCTGACGTGTTGTCGTAGAGCACAAATGTTATTTTGACCTTTGCAGCCTATGCATTAGATAATAATTTGCAACAACAAATAGTCTTCACAATATTTCATAAATTTAAAATTTAAGTAGGTCACTTCAAAGTGGAAACTATTTTGTTACGAAAACTCTTTTACTGAAAAAGAATATATCACTTGACAATTCATGTCAAATATTTTCTCGGCATTTTCCGTAGGTATTTTCCTAATTAATTTACACTACAATGCTCCGAAATTTATCCATTAACGAAAGAGCACAAATAATCGCATTACACAATGATGGTTTGAATATTAGTGAGATTTCTAGAGAATTAAATGTGTCGGTAAGTATTATTATGTCTGACGTGAGTTTAATGTAAAATCTCAGACCAAGTCCGAGTGTAAAAAATTTTTTATTTTTTCTGTTCATATTTTATTTTTGATTATAGAGACAAGCTGTCCGTCTTTGGATAAGACGAGAAAGCGAGGAGGGGAATTTGAACGCTCGGAGTCGTAGCGGTCGTAGACCTGAAATATCAGATACTCAGCGAGTCTTCATGAGACGGAGTTATAAGGAATCTGGCTTTATACCAACGCGTTATTTTGCCGACATATTTGACGTGACTCTCCAAACCATTAGAAACCATTTACATTACATGGGCTTACATCACAGGCGTTATGCAAAGAAAATTTATATGACTGACGCTCATAGAATGGCCAGATTAAATTTCGCCACAAAATATTTGGATTTTGATTGGAGTAACACTGTTTTCTGTGACGAGAAAACTTTTAAATCCAGTCAACACGGGCGTCTACACCTTTGGCGATTCAATAAAACGCGATATATGCAAAATCATGTCGTGTCAAATAGAGAATCGGGTCGTATCTCGGTAAATTTGTTTGGATGGATGACTGCTGATGGTGTTGGAGACTTGACCTTTTTGCCACCACGAGCAACGGCATCAGATTATGTTGATGTTCTCCAAAATGCTATGTTGCCATCCGTCCGGAACGTTTATCCAGAAAATGAAATGCGTCAATTTAATTATTTACAGGATAACTGTCCCTTACATAAAGCAAGGGTAACACGTGCTTGGTTTGATGCACATCCGGAAATAAACTTGATACCATGGCCTGCAAAATCGCCAGATCTCAACCCTATTGAAAATATGTGGGGTCTTATGGTTCAGAGATGGTGTAACCGTAATGAACGAACAGCAGAAGCACTACAAGGGCACTGCAATGAGGTTTGGGAGGAAACACGTGGGTCTGATATCTGCTCAAGACTGGTGGGCTCGATGAGGGAACGTCTCCAAGCTGTTATAGAGGCAAATGGCGACTACACAAGATTTTAAGAATTATAATTTTATAAAAGAATTGTATATATTTTTTAACAACCAAAGAATTAGCATTTTCACTATCTCTTCTAGTTTTAGCCCTTGTCTCGCACTAAGCTATGGGTCGGCGCAATATGTTTTTCGTCGCTATTCATTTCTGTTATCCGTTATCTCAGTATATTCAGATATTTGTAGACTATAAGACTTTATTTACGATATTCTAACTCTAAAGTATTTAAAGATACAAACAGACAGACAGAAAAAAAAAATATTTTTGGCTTCTATTAGTCTTATGAAATCCGTCCATATATTTTTTTCCAAAATATCTTACAAATGTAACCTTGTTACATTTTTATTATAGGTATAGATAATTACTGTCAAAGGTTACGTCAAAATGATGAAGATAGCAATAATGACGTGTATTTGACGTGTCAAAAAATTAATACTACGGAAAATCAACCTTGTTGTTAGTTGACGTAACACGCGATATTCAACCTTAGGGTGGTAGACCACTTTCTTGGCCGACTGTACATACATCTGTAGATGCAGGCTAAGCCGCAATTTTGACGTCATTGTTTCGATTTGTAAGATGTCCATCCGTTACCCCGCAATAAGTATAACTGTGTCCATACATAAACAATGTTTTAGGACATAAAAGTAAAATTCCAATTTTCGTTTTATGATTATGAATGCATATTCTAATTGGGGTGTATGGATGTGCAATGTTGTATTATTTCTGTTACAAGTTGTATATTAAACTACTGTAAAAAAAGACAATAAGATACCATCGAAAATTATGTACTATATAACACTTACGACTCAAATAATGATTGACAATTTCATCCTGAACCGGTTCCTCTACTTCGACAGTCGGCGGAGGCAGATCTAGAGGCCCACGCCTCAGTAGCTGCAAGTTGCGCTTGCTCATAGGAGATGCGGCTTCGATTCTCGGCTTACGAGCGCTGGATTTCATCGGAGTCGCCGGTTTAACGTCGATAAGGAACTGGCAATGATATTGATCTATGTAAATAAAAACGAATCGCCGGAATTTTATGTACGCAGAACGACTGCATCAAATTAGATATTTTTGTCGTGTTTTTTATTTTCAGGACACGGTTTGTATATTAGAATAGAATAACATTATTTTTTTACAACAGACATCATATACACTACAAAGCACAAGAAACATACGACAAATAACAATGTGCAATGCTGTATTATCAAAAAATTGTAGGGAAAGAGTAACAATACCCGTGGGAAGCCGGAACGGACAACAACACATATATTTTTCAGGCCCCAATTTAAGTAGCTAAAGCAAATTTAAAACTAGTGAATATTAGTCAACATAGAAGTGGGCGGAGTGTAACGCCCACCGCTTTATCACGCGTTGCTGCATATAAAAATCATCATAGCACTAATTTCATATTTTCCCCGTGAGTAGAACTTATTTATTTAGTTACTAAATGCTGACATACAGACTAACAAAATACAATACACCAGCAAGTTAAATATAGCAAGAAACAAAAATAAAAAATGTAAACTAGGTAAAGATAAATTGCAATGAACATATCTGCCAAGTGCATGTCGGACTCGAGCACGATGGTTTCCTTATCTATGAATAAGCGCAAAAAAAAACAAATTTGTTGTTTGGGAGCCAGCATAAAATTTTATTTTATTTTTTTTTCCGAAATATTTGTTTTATGACTTTAAATTAAAATAAACACTTGCAAGTATTATTTCAAATAGAGTACCATACATCATACCCATTAATGGTGTAATACAACCTAACTATCACAATTCATGAAGCCTGGTGACAGACGGTCGGACAGCAGAATCTTAGTAAATAGAACCCGAAAAAAAAACGTCGCACCTCTATTCCTGTACTTGTTCGCATCGTGAGCATAAAGCCTAGTTCGCATTATGCTAGTATTTTAGCGAGTAACTAAGTAACTAAACGTATCTGAACAACAAAAATGTAGTCGAGTAGCTTAGTAAGTAAGTAAGTCGAGTCGATCCATTTTATCCGTACTTACTGAATCTCCAGCTAAACGAGGCCGAACCTGACAATTTTGTCGAGTTCATTAGTTGCCTAAAAATGACGTTTCGCTGGAGCGAATAAACAACTTTAAAATTCGTTTCCGATTTTTTTGGAAAATGAATGCTTATGGAATATTAAGTCCAATTAGTAGCTCCTAGTTTATCTCTTCTGTCGATCCATTTCCACATCCATAACTTCTTTTTATTAATAACATGAATTTCCTCATACACCTCTTCTAAAACTGCCGTTATAATGAGCTTAATCAGTTTATTTACTTTATTCCGTTGTAGGCTGTTCATCTTGCAAAACACAACTCACTTGTGAACTGAACTCGAAGCAAGTACTTACAAGTTTTGGGCAGTAGAGATTATTTTAGCTACTAAACTACTCACTACTAGACTTATGGTCAGTTTCACAATCGTCCATTAAGGTTTAATGACGCCTTTAAGCTCTAATAAATGAAAATTCGTATGGGTAATGTCGCTTTAAACTAATGATAAAATTAATGGGCGTTTGTGCAATCGGCTGTAAAATACTAGCTTAATGCGAACTAGGCTTAACATACATCAGTTTCGTCGAGCGCTCGGCCCTCGTGCACGCTCCTGAGCAGCCACAGCGGCGACAGCACCGGCGCGTGCGGCAGCCGTGTACGGGCGACCACCGCGGCCGCGTGACACCCCGCCACGCAGTGGGTCACGCGCTCGTGCGGGCAGTCGTACCGCACGCCGCCGCCGCGGGACACGCACGCGGCCGCCCGCTCGCGGTACACGCCCTCCAACCCGCACACCCATATCTGTTTGTAGATTCTCAATGACGGTAACTGTATTTCCCTCTCACCAGATGGCGTGATAGTCGCGAGAGAAACAGTAAACAAACTTACAATGGAGTCTTAGTTTGTTCACTATGAGATTGTAGTTAAATAATACATAAATATAACATTTCATTAGAAATAATATAAATATCATTTATTTTTTTAACGCAAGAGAAGTGCGACTTTAATCCTTAATAACGAATTAACGAATGCGAATGGGAACTCGCTCCTCCCCACGGGTTCGGGGAAATATCGAGGAAACTTTCATCTCGTTCAATTATGCATTACTTCTTTTTAGTTCCGGTTTTTGAAGCACTAACATTCATTGACCATTCATTCATAACGGCTTTAATAAATTATGAATGAAGTATACCAAAATAAGCGAAAAATTCATTTATTTCAAAGGAAACGCACGTAGTTCACCGACAAAATATGATATATTGAAGACCTCACGCTACACTAGCGCCTCTAGTTGCAAATGAGGAAGAATTAAAAAAAAAACATTAGTTCCCAAAATCAAACTAGATGTCGCTACGATACGTACGGGAACCGGAAAGGTTGACATGGAGAAATCAAGAAAGTACCATAGCGACATCTAGTTTGATTTCAGGAACTAATGTTTCTTTTTTTAATACTTCCTTATCGTAAATAAGTATAGATCGTCAACGCTGACAAATATGTCATTGCGATACTGACTTCACTTATGCCACAAAACGTTATTACCAATTCGAGGTCGATTTGGATTCTTACAGAATCGCAGGGCTGTACTCGTGTTTATTGAAATGTGACGTCACGTATTTCATATAACTTTTTGGAGAAAAATAAATCTGATAGTGGCTTAATATGAACATATGAACGTTTTTAAATGCTTTTCCCTAAACAGTCAGGAAACCAATCATCATGTGATAACACGGTTAGTTTTTAATTTGTTGATGCATGCACTATAAAGGTAAGTAAGGTTTGAGCAAACAGTGGAATCATTCTGTTATGTTCCTTTCTATGGGTAGCAGAATAGTTACAGGGGCACAAAGCAGTCCACCCTACCATTCCCTATTATTAAAAATAATTTCCTTAAACACTGTATAAGTACGACTACATATTGCATATTAGTAAAGCTTTAAATAGTTAATTATAATTAAATAAAAACTCAAGGGATATATGAGGTATTTCAATACAAGATGATAAGTGACCCGACTGAAGTATACTTACACAAAATCCATCAAATATTGGTCCTGCCTTTTTAATGTCGCTCATATCGAAATTTTCAAATGCAGCCAGTACATCCTTGTCCATACTTGTATCACTTTTTTTTGAAGACATTTCTTGCGATAACTGAAAAGAAAACTATAACTAAGCATACACATAGGTTAACCACAAAATAACAAAATTCAGCATTCTGTTTACACTTTAATTGACACAGTATTAAAGCTTCAAATCTATTGAATAAAGACAGTAATGGACTCCTGAAACAGCGTCTGACAAAAAAAAAATGTCAGATTTCTCCACTTGATTTTAAACCTTAATGCATTGTTGGTAGAGTTCAAAATCGATTGAGGAAATGTGACATTTTTTGGTATCCTGACCGTCAGCCGTTTCTGTTTCTTACCTTCATTTTTCCTGACATTGTGGACACATCCGTAGACCTAGTTTCATCAACAAAATTGCTGGGAGGTCTCAGATTTGTGATACGTGAAAAATTTAAACCTGCCAATACAAAATACATATGAAATCTACAATAATAAAAGCGATAAGTATACGGTATGATATTATGCTTTTATTTAACGTCAGTAAAATTTTTATTGTCCATATATTATAATTGTTACAAAGCAGGTGTGAATGTGAAGCGTTACGCTAAACACTGTAACTGCTTCTACCGCGTTTGGCTATCAGATGGCAGAACTGTACATCACGACGTCATACATTTCGGTAAGCGTTTTCTTTGCGGGATTGCACAATTTTGCGCAGGGGTTCATAATTTGAACTTTAGCATGTTTTGAATTTATATTCGTCACATAACTGAAAGCCTCAATAACAGAACTCCTGTTGTATCTTTGTGCCTAGATATGAGCAAAGCTTTTGATTTCGTAAGTCACTCTAAACTTTTGCACAAGCTATGCAATTGTGGTGTTAGAGGAAATGCTCTTGAATGGATAAGATGTTTCTTAAACAACAGATTACAGGCTACCGAGGTGAGTAAAATTGTAAAGAAATATAATATACATATAAAACAGTCATATCAATCTGATTTTAGAATAAATAATACCGGTGTTCCTCAAGGAAGTATACTTGGGCCACTACTTTTTCTGGTATACGTAAACGATTTGCCGCGTAGCACAAACAATAAATGCATAATGTTCGCAGATGACACAACAAGTGTTATTAAATGTGATAATACTAATAATGACACATTTGAATGTAAAATAACCTCAGCACTATCAGACGTTACTAAGTGATTGGATTCAAATGATTTAAAGTTGAATATAGGTAAAACACGCTTAATTCGGTTTAGATCATACAATTCAAACCCTATTCCTTTAAAAATTAATTTCGGAAATAACGTAATAGAAGAAGTAGATTCAATACGTTTTCTTGGAATCATTATTGACAAACATCTTAATTGGAAGCAGCATATTGACCATGTATGTGGAAAACTTAACCGGTTTGTATTCGCCATAAAGAAACTGACAAACAGTTTCTGTTGAAGCTGCCTTAACAGCATATCATGGTTATGTGTCGTCGGTTTTAAGCTACGGCCTGATACTTTGGGGAGCCTCTGTAGATCTAAAGAGTTTTTAAAATTCAAAAGAAGTGTGTTCGTGTTATGTGTAATGCTCGGTTCGATGATAGCTGTAAGCCACTTTTCAAAAAGCTTAATATTTTGCCTCTACCTTGTATGTACATAAAAAATATCTGTGTATTTGTTCACTCTCATTCCTATTACTGGAGTAAATGTGTGGACATTATTCCGAGACAAACTAGACGAAAATATAGAAAACTGTTGTATCAGCCTCCTTGTCTTAAAAACATCTATAAAAACAATATTTACAATATGTGCATAATTATATATAACAATTTGCCAGATGACATGAAACTGTTAAACATGAATCAATTTAAATTAAAACTGACAAAGTGGCTTCTAGAACACTGCTTTTATAGCGGTAAAGACTTTTTAGCTTTAGAAAAAAATCCATGACATAATGATAATATATAATAATAATTTGTAATTTTATGAGATGTTTGATATATATCGTAATATGATAATAAGAAATGTAATAAGTTAATAATATAATAATAATATTTGCACGCCAGTCCGCAGGCAGAATATTGTACTTGTCTGATTATTTGTGACCTCAATGACTTGTGTTCTGGCAAATAAAGATCTTATCTTATCTTATCTAATCTCAATACTTGGCATATTTTCAGATGATTGAGACCACAATCTTTTTTAAGGTAAAGGGTCTAACTCTCTAATTTTAAAATTTATCGCAGTCCCTTCAATTTGACATTTTAAAGATATTTACGAACGTCACGCTACAACTATTTGACATGTGATAGCGATTGCTACTGCGACGTCTTTTTGAAACATATGGAATGATCGTTATCATTAATTAAATGTTAATTTGAATTGTCTAAGTCAAGCGTTAGTTGCAAATATTTTTGAAAGGTATTGTAAAAAAGTAAAACCATTTCTAACAGCAATATTTTTTAGATATAGATTTAGATATGTTCTTATTATGTTTCTGGTCGTTCAAATTATCAGTCGTTCCAAAAGCAATTGAAAAGTTATATAATAGGGAAAATACACATTTTCTGTAAATTTTACATAGACTTTATTCTAAGGCAATAATGATCGCAATAATATATATTTAACCCTTTTTTAAACCTATTCCATATTACAGAAATAATTATATACCCTTTGAAAGGATTGGTGATTGAAATTAAATAATGTACCATAGGTTCTGCCCCTGTAAGCAACTTTTGCAAAGACCAATCATGTGATAGGAAGCTACATTCAACCATTAGACATGGCTGTATATGTAGTCATTAACATACACATATCCACTGACTCTGCATAGTGGCCCCAAGTGTTTCTTTTCCATAGAAAACCAGTGAGAGTAATAGTTTGGTTATAATGATGATATCTTTCTTCAATGGATTTAGACAAAAATAAATATATAAGATATTCTCAATCTCTAAAAGAAAAGTCTACTAACTCATGTCTGGTAAGCGATGTTCAGCCAGTGGGGAGGAGGTGGATGCTCCGGCGACTCTGTACTGAGCTAGAGGCAAGGCTACGCCTTTCATAGCCGAATCTTTTACCCACGCGGGCAGAACACAAGCCTTGCCGTACTCTAATGCTGCTTTGTACTTCTCACTGCCTACCCCTTCTCTGTTACCAAATATGATGAAACATACGCATTAATATCTTAACGAAAGAAGATGATCCTTTATTGTTTCCATGTATAGTAGTCTTGTGTAGTTCGCGAAAGAACTGCTCACACAGAAGAAATATGCGAACTAGTTTCCACATTTCTCGTGCCGTAATTCGGAGCAGAATGGGTAAAGGTGACCGAACTAATGTAGTCTTATGAAAAATATAAAATACTTTAATCACTGCTTAAACAATAATCCTAGTTATTTTTGTTGTTTTCTCTTTCATATGTCTATTTATGTCATTTTGTATGTCCCAAATTTTGATGTTAATTTACAGTGTTCAATAATCTAATAGTAGCCGGAGCAGAATTAAAACGAGAGAAGAGAGAACAAACTGCTTTAAAATAATTCAATATAAGGCAAACTGTTCACTCGTTTTAAAAGTACTCCTGCAGCAAACAATGAAGAGCTTGGGATCTACCCGAACTAACGAATTAAAGGAGCGCACTAGTTCGAACGATCTCAGTGGCGAACTATTACGTCAAAGACTAATGTATAGTGTAATCACCAAACAAAGAAATTTTGAACTTTCTATTTTTTTACAAATTTATTAGTTAAGAAATAAAGTTTGAAAGATCACTTTGTCGGCACATCTGCTCTGAAAAATAATATTTTTAATTTTAGTATTGCATTTTCAATTCAATTTTCCACATTTTTTGCAGTTTTTAATAATTATTTCCTCATAAAAACAAAACAACATTAAAAAATATTTCATCATCATCATCACTTCAGCCGAGAGACGCCCACTGCTGGGCATAGGCCATTAAAAAATATTTACATAGTCATTATTCTAAAGCAGTAGTGTTTGTAATAAAATATATTTAACCCTTTTTTGGAGAAGAACATAATCCTTATTATCAAAATTAATTTAAATACCAACTCACTTTGTCAAAACAACAATATCCGTTGTTTCACTTTGAAATGCCCCTGAAAATGTGCCACCATTCTCATTGACAAGTTTCATCACCATCTGCTTGTCACGTTTGGGTATCCCTGAAGTGGTCACTTGTAAATTGGCAAAGACAGGCAACTTGTGACCACAGAAGTCCGGCGAGGAGCCATTGACATTCAAATGCAATGATTTTTCCCATACTGCATCCACCCAACTCTCCGACATTACTGGTATGCCTTTTTCAACTGATTTCTATAAAATATTGAAATAAATACATATTAAAACATTGACTTAGTAGGCTTCCACTAAATAATTTGATACTTTACTTACAATATACTTATCAGACAGGACTGTGTCGGACACTAGATGAGTTGTGTCATCTGTTAAAACTGTGCTATACAATCCGCCCATCCGTTGCACCTTTTTCCTTATATTGTCCTTAAATATATTGAAAGAATATCAATATGATAAAAAAGTATTTCATAGTATTTATACATTAAGTAGAGTAAAACATGTAAAACAAAACTTCTTACATAATATTTCAAAAAAAAAAAACTTAAATATTACTTTATTGTTACCATTATCAGATTTATTTTATCAATAAATTAATTGACATAGATTTAGTATGGAACTTTTGTTTAATGACCTGTTTGTCAAAATGGGAATATTTATGTATTTATTTAACACTTTTGTCTGATAGATATTAGAAAGATATAAAGTTGAAAAGGAAACATAAAAACTGAGTTGAAACTATTGCTATAGTAATGAACAAGATTTATTTTAGACATTTTTATTGACCTTGTAAATTAGTCATAGTAGCAAATTTATATTTATCTTGAATTAACACTTCATTAAAGCCAAAATTCTTTCTTTGCCACCCTTGAGTGAGAGAACAGAACATAATTTAGTTAATATCAAGTATTTTTTTATATATTACTATAATCATAATAGTATCTTCAAAATATATTAAAACCTTTTGAATTAGAAATTCAGGACTCCTCATAGTGATTTATATCTTAATTATAGCTTAAAATGGGTACAGGTATTTAAAAAAATATCATACTTTCTTAGGTTTTGTGAATCCACTAGCAGTGATAACCAGACCTCTCATAGCAACAGTATATACTGGTTCCGGACCTGACGGTATAGGGACACCTTCAGTCAGGCAGCATGACAAACAGCGTGGCCCAACAATTCTGCAATATGTGTGAAAAAAAAAAATTGTGCTTAGTGATTTTATTATTTTTTATTCATGGTTTGGTCATTGCAATTAAGTTTTTATATAATAATTACTTACAAACATTTGGTAGTTCTCAATCGTTCGTAGAGTTCTCCTTCAAAATCTTGTAATACAAATACATCCCTTTTAGTTAAACCACTGAAATTTTCCCAGCTACTTTCGTTTACCCATTGTGCTTGAAGTCCACCCCCACGATGCTGTTCACAAACCTAATAAAAAGCGACAGATAAAAAAAACAATGATACAAATTATGAATAAATTATTACTATAAAGCTCTCTCTAAAAAAATTGGCAGCTTCACTGAAACAAAAACTAATTCAAATTTACATACGATAAAAGCTAGTTGCATTTCTTCTGGGCATTCATTTTCATTTTGATAATGCTTTGGAATCACAAACGTTACTTTTATTTCCTCAGTCATATTGATACAAACAGCATAATTAGCGACAATTAAATACAAATTGAATATCCGCTCTTTCTGAAAGAATGTTTACAAAATTTAATGACAATGAATGACATGACATGACACTTCATTGCTTTTTAATTTCAAAGTTACAGGAAACAAAGAATATAGACTCATACAGCCACGTGCCGAAATTAGTTTTATTAAACCAATTACGTGCACGATTCTTACTAAAACAACGTAATTTTAACTTGCTCTCTTAAATAACAGTTTAACTGCCATTGTAATTTAAAATTTATACATAAAATTTACATTGGATCCAGTGTTTGTATTATGCAGTGATTTATAGAGAATTAAAACCTACTGATATCACTTGTTTATATTATAGATGTCAGTTGTGTTATTGGTGTTTTGATTCATTAAACTACGACGACACGTTTAGCCTGGCCGCTGACATCAGCTTGCTATCCTCGTCGCACTCCTGCGTTCCGAGTTGTCCTTATTGTATTCCTATGTATCGTGTTATCCTTATCGAACTCCTGCGCAACGCGCTATCACTGTCTTGTATCCAACGGTGGATTCTAACTATACGAATTTTAGACACTATTTCTTTTAAGTAATCGAGGTTTATCGTAAGTTACCAGGATTAAACTGTGAGCAGCGTTCCAATGGTTAGTTGGACAAAAGTTTAAATTGTAACTAACAGTAAGTTTTGCCAAAAATACGTACCTGCTGTTAGTTACAATTTAAACTTTTGCATTAAATTGTAACTAACAGTAGGTACGTATATCAATACGTACCTACTGTTAGTTACAATTTAAACTTTTGCCCAACTACCCATTGGAACGCTGCTCACAGTTTAATCCTGGTAACTTACGATAAACTTCGATTACTTAAAAGAAATAGTGTCTAAAATTCGTATAGTTAGAATATTATAAATTATTATTTATTATAAACAAAGATGAACCCTATGCCCTCCGAGTAAAATAAGCAGTGGATCATACATAACCTAACTTTCTAATGATTTTTCATTATTCTTGGAGATTTTAACGTAAGCAGTGCTGATTGGGTGCCGGATACCAATGATAATATGGATCAGAATAAACAGGTAGATGCTGTATACACCGACTTCTCAAAGTCTTTTGATAAAATTTCTCATAACTAGCTAGGATTGGGCAAAAACTATCAATGATCAACTTTTAATTTTATTTACCCTATCTATACTTCGCAAAAGCTATTGGAATTTTACAAAACTATAAATGTTTACAAGCTGCTATTTACTTTGTAACCCACGTTGTTCTTTTTGTATTAAGTAATTATTGGTACTCGTTGTCTACAATTACCATATATTATAATGTCTTTTATATTGAAATTTTGTTTAATAACTGTTTGTGCCAGAATAAAGAGAAAAAAATCATGAAACAAAAAATGTAACGCAAGCTGGCACCAATTATCGGGTAGGTATTTGAGGCAAACTGAAAAGTTGTCCCATACCTTTCCTTTTAAACCCCAACACAGAATTGCAGACCTAGCTGGTAAGTAATGGGCCTAAATTAATGTCGAATCCCGAATGACAAGTTTTCAGTTAGTCTCAAACACCTACTCAAAAATTGGTGGCAGCTCTCGGGTTATTATGGATTTTATTGGTTTATCTATGATGACAAAAATATTACAGTTTTCTTGCATGTTACCGATCCCTTTGTTTTTCATTATATAATATCAACAACAAAAAAGCGATTTGTCATTATCCATATTTTAAATCACGTAACGCAACCGCTATCAGATAATCACCGATATCAAAACTGTCTATTTTTGGCAACTAGTTATTTCTACAACGCTATATAGTCAAAGCGAATTTTACTCTTATTTCAACGCTATAAAACTCAATTTTGGTTGATCACTCCGAAAGCCGAACTACGTGGACCGTACAAACATATACCTATTTCATTCACATGTATACTGACATCCTGTTGTTGTTTCATTCACCCATAGCAAGTTGCTTTGTTTATGATGATATTATTTAAACGCTTTACATTAGGTGTTACGGTTATTAAAATTGCATTACATGACCGTCAATGTAAAGTGTTGGTCTCATAAAGATGTCTACGTATCGCTGCGAACTGTGATCGCCGCTTCTTGATGATCGAGGTTATTGTAAGGGAAGCCGGTCAAACATCTACCTTAACTGATTTACTTAAGAGTGAATTCAGCTTTACTTTAAATCGTTGTGGAAAATAGTTATTGTATCACTGAATCACGAGTGATCGCGGTTTAGGCAAATCACTAGTTGAATAACTGTCTATCGCGAATAACATCCATCACTACAACAAAAAGTTTAGCCAACTTTAACTCTTTTTTTTCCTGTTTTTGGATGAAGCAGGAATAGCTATACGGGATAAAACATATAGAATAAAAACAAAAATAATAACAATTTACTATTTAATGTTGAAATTATAGTATCTTTAATGTAGATTAATAAATTATCGCTTTTGAATAGTTCCTATCGTTTTGTATTTATGCATACAATCTGAAAATTGTGTCTATTTCATTATGATAACCAAAAGGTTCAAAAGACATTACACAAAGTAACTCAAACAAAACCTTGTAAAAAGGATATGTTGGTTTAGTTTCACATAGATTATTACTATAGATAGATTTAAAATTAATGCTGTTATAAATGTCATACTAATTTAAGACAATGAAGAGATACTAACCAGACGTTACAGTTGGTTTTTTAACTTAAAATATGTTCATAGTTTATATATGACCCAACATCAAAATATGACTAGATGGATCATCACCTCTATGACTTAACTATAGAAAATTGCCCTATTAAATATATATATTAATATTATAATTATTTTCTCCTTCTTGTTTTAACAACTGTCCAGCCTGGTTCCACATCCTCATCCATAGGCTCAGACTCTTGATTATTACTAGATGATGCTGTGGCTCCATCCTTCGATTCATCTTCGGGACCATCTTCTTCACCACTGCTACTCGTAGTGTCATCATCAGGATTTCCATGACACTGGAATTCAATTAGAGATTACTATCATTATATGGCCTGTGGGAGCTACTCATTAACGTTAGTTAGATCAGAGCTTCATAATCTTTACTAATAATAAAGGTGAAGAGTTAGTTTGTTTATTTAAACTCACTAATCTCAGCAACTATGAATTGAATTTTTTTTTGTGTTGAAGTGTCCATTTATCAAGGAAGGCTATATATGTAATATCACGCCGTAACTAATAGGAGTGTAGCAGCAATGGAGAATGTTATTCAAACGAGTACAATAGTTATCACTAATATTAAATGCATATGTTATATTGGTTAAGTGTACTAAAATGTTACGTATAGCTGATGCTACTGATCACTGTATGATGTAACTGTACTTTTAAAACGGGATTTTGGTTTTTGTTCTGTTTGTAGTCATAATTTTATTCCAATTTTTATCAAATTTCAATTTTCCAATAACATTATTTAACGGGGAATTATTAATAGGGTGGAAAAATAAAATGTTACATTTAGAGGACGCTACTCATCACAGATTATGCTACTGTTATTTAAAACAGGAATATGATTTTTTAAATGTTTGACGTCTTATTGTTTTTCCGATTTTTATCAAACAAAGCGGCTTCCATTTTCAAATTTTGGGGTTTTTAGGGTTCCATAGTCAACTAGGAACCTTATGTCATGGTCATGTCTGTCTGTCCGTCAGTCCGCGGTTTAGCTAAAAAACGATATTAGAAAAGTGTAATTTAGCATAAGTATACACGTTACTCACGCCGAGAAAGAGGTAAAATAAAATCCCTCCTCCCCTACATGTAAAGTGGGGGATGAACATTTTTTTTTATCTTCCATGGGGTAGAGTATTCTTGGATAGGTCATTTAAAAATAGTAGGAGTGTAGGAACACTCCTACAACATGTTTTTGTGATTTATTTAACAGTTCGTGTACTATTTAGCTTCAGTGCCAATTTTCATTAGAGTCAAATGTTATGTTGGTGTTAGAGGAGGGCGGGGGCGTCTACCAACTAAACGGTTATTGTACGAAACTCAAACGTCACAACAGTAGTATTTATAGTATAACAGATTTAATAGGACAACTATCACACTTAAGTAAGCATTACAAGTTAACAAGTAACAGTTGGCCAAAAATATTTGATTCGAAAATTTCAAACAACTCCTTTGAAAATAACAAACATGTTTTGAGTTTTTTATTTTGATATTTAACTGAGGAGCGTTAATTTTTTTTGCGAAAAATGTACTAAACAGCCAATAATCATTTATGAATGAACACTTGAAATAAGCAACTATTAGTAGGAAATAGTTTTATCTAAAATTCAAAGTATCAGAGTTGTACAAATTGAAAGAAATGGAAGAATATCCATTGATAAAATTTAATGTAGCACCACACACTATAATCTTTGAAATTGAGATAACGATAACAATAACAAGCTAACTGTCAAGTTGCTATAAGGATCCATTGTAGAATCTTGCACAAGTAAAGCATCAGGCTATTTTAAGGTCTTAAAATGAAAACCTTTTTATTCCAGAAAACATATTTGGAGTTGTAAGCAACTTACTTGGGGAGGAACTGATTCATGTATTGGTTGACTGAGCCACTTCTGACATTTTGGCATTGCTTCAAGTCTAGTTCTTAGTTCATCATGTTTGCCTTCTTTCAGTAAGCTTAAGAACATTAACAGTAGAGAGGCTACTTCTGTAACAATATTTGTTTTTTCCTTACCAATTTTATTTAATTTGATAATTAAAACCCATAGAGAAACATAAACCTATGATGCATACAGTAACCAATGGGTTAATAAATTACATTTTTGAACTACTGTACCAAAAGATCAAATTATAGAAATTTAATTATAAAATACTCTTTATAGTTTTTTCAACTTTTCATTCATTAAAATGTTAAGTTTAAATCAATTTGAATAAATTTAACCTTTGTCACAGCCTTATTATGTGTTAATGTAATGTGAGGATTCATGTAATTATACTGTATTAGTAAAATAAAAACGAATTATGAACCTTTAGGTGAATTGTCATGGCAGACTGTATCAAACTCTTCATCCATTAAATCCTCTATTACTTCAGTCAGTTCTAATGTATCCACTATATTCTCAACACAGTATCTTGCTATATATACTGACATCAGCTGAGCTGTCTGAAATATAAAACCATAATTATTTAAAAAATGCATAGAAAATATCACCAGTCAAAAGTCACCAGACCAGGAAATTGGTCCTATTTAAAAATATATTTAGCATTGTAGATGCATAATTGATCAAATATGACAATAATAGAATACACAAGCAACTTCTTAGTTGAGGTGCTGTCTCAAATGCTAATTTACATTAGTAACTATAAATATTAGCAATGGGCAGCTCTGAATTACTATATACAAAACTTTGCAACAATAAAGGAAAAAAACAATATTGATTATTTTTAGTACCTTTTCACCGCCTGGAGCACCCATGCCTTGTTCAACAGCAAGTTGCAAGGCTGTCCAATTATTTAGAATTAAATCTACAATTGGTTTAAAGTCGTCGTAAAGCATTTTTATATATATTTATGAATATTTCATCTAGATTTTACAATTAAACTTGCGTTATTCAATCCCTTTAATAACAAAACTGCCAAAACGTAAAATATAACCTTTTCCCCACTTTTCCCATTACCTACATTCACAGACCACTATATAGTTTGTGATATATATTAAACTAGTCAGGGAGCCTCACAGAACAATAGCCTACATTGTCTTTTATATTTTTTTGAGCTGAATATAAGGCAAAGGGAATAGGGATCAGGGTGACCATTTAAAAAATGGTTAATCTAATCCCGTCTAATGTGCCAACAATATGCCATCATATTATTGCGTCCGTAGAGTAGGTTACAGTGCGACACAAAAAACTAGAAAATAAATAAGGGCGCCCTCTGTCATGTCAATTTTCATGGAAATCTATAGTCACACAGTTGTATAAAAACTCTGGTGATCTAAGAAAAATACGTTTATGAGGAACTAAAATCCTCATAAACGTTTTAAATTTGGTAGAGTTAAATTTGGATGACATGAGAATCGTGCCAAAATTATTTAATCCTGCTTCTTTAGGTTTTTTTAAGATGAAAACGTTTTATTGTAGTAGTTATTAAATCTTTTAAGGTAGTCAAATACTCATAAATTTGTTTATTAGATAGCTTAAAAGAAAACGGTTAAGTATAGCCGCTGGTATTTAAGTGGATATGTAGCAAATTAGCCGTTAGTCTTAAGAATAACATGATTGTTGATGTTTTGTCACAAAGTTTATCATAAAATGAACCTTATTTAACTTCTGTCTAATGCTATAATGAATGGAGTACAGTGACATCTAGTTTGATTTCAAGAACTATTTTTTTTTAATATTTCATTATTGGTTTTAAACTTTACAACTTTGTTTTAACGTTTCTAATTAAGTAAAAAAAATTGACAGTTTTGTATAACCTGGTATGCTGTCGACTGTACTAACCATATGAATGAGGAAGTATTTAAAAAAAATAAAGAAACTACAAAAAGAACAATGGTCAAAATGGACTACGAAAAAAAGTTCTTGTACCAAGATGGAACTATCACCAAAATGCTGTATAAGTCGAATGTAATTATTATATACCAACAATTTATTTTTAAAAGCTGGGAAAAGAAAGATAATCCTCTCTAAAATATGTCTTTATTTTTTAAAACGCAGTTTAAATTATGTTATTTTTGAACGCATCTTATTAATAATGTCATTCCTAGAGAAGTCCCTTTCTTTTTAAAGAACAAGATCGATTTTATACCTGACTAATCGAATTTGATACAAATTCTTATATTATTTACTAACCATATAAATCCGTGAAAATTATAAAACTTAGATTAGATTACTAATATAATTAGATGTTACTTAAGGGAAAATAGTTTATTTATAATGAAATTAAAAACAAATGATTATTGATAAGAATCGATTCGATTGCGACCTCCCTTTTTTAGACAAGTATGTGTAGACGTGTTTCTACGCAGACCGTTTTGTAACTTTTCAGCTACTACTTCAGCATGAGTTCTACACAATTTGATCATATATTAAACTTAGTCATACTTTATATATATAAAAAAACAATATACGCTATTTAGAACTAGTGTAAGCGCAAAACAGCGGTTAGCTATGCTGTAAACTTAAAATTTTTAGTAACGGGAAATGCATATGATGACTTAAAGTATAAATACTCAATAAGTTAATTGTTTCCATAGATAATTTTAAATAACTTTACATAATTAAGTTAGTCTAACCATGGACCCTGTCGGGAACAACAATAATAGAAAGGAGGAGCATTAGTTTTTATTATTGTTATTTATAAAAAATTAACAATTTCGCTAAAATCATTGATATCAGAACCCCTGCTATCAAATATTGTACCAGACACATGCAGGGCTATTTAGAAATGTTTAAAACATTATATCATATACATATAAAAAGTAAAATTAATAATATTAAATTACATTTACATTTAATAATAGATGGCGCTAGTTGCCATGATAACATTGAGCTCCGATATAATAAATGAGTAAAAATATTCAAAGTGGAAAAAGTGTGTGCTACGAGAATTAAGTGCGATACTTACTGCCTAAATATTGTGAGAAATTATTATCTTTCGAAAAAGAATCCGGATAGTGCCAAAAAAGTCGAAGATAATATTTCTAGAATTACAAATTTCTAAGAACAGTGACTTAAAGTGTTAAAGTGAAAAATACTAAAAATAAACCAGTGATAAAACTTATAATAAACAGACATTCGTATATAATTAGCACTAAGTACAAAAATATTTAAATTTACCAATCCTTTTTACCGTTACACAAATTTTAAAAATGGACTATTTCTCTGAGTGATAGATCATTCTCCATAAAATAATCAGTGAATTAAAACTTGTGAAGCAAAAATTTTGATATTAACAATTTCAATTGACTATTTTCTTTAAAATTCATTGATACACACTCGTTGGCAAAATCGATGGCGAGTAGCGACATCTAGTGATGAATGGCAGAACTAATATACTACTGATACTTATTAACCTAAAGGTATTAACAGAAACTAACGCCACCTGGCGCACTGACAATATACTTCTTAGCACGCTTAAAGCCACCAGTGCCATCTAACGGTACGTGCTACAGTATGGAACATTCGCAATATTGAAACAGACTTAATTATTTGGCTTAACTGTTAATGACTCGGTGGTGTGTTGGATAATACGTCCTCGCAACACATCAAGAAAACAGAGTTCGAACCTGCGTGAAGAAGAAGGGATTTTTTTTAAGAACAATTTTCCTATTACATTTGTTTAGATTTCTTACGACATTAATAAATTAATTTAATTACCGACAAGAAAAAATAATAGAAATATGGAAAAGATGGACACAGACAACGTGACTTTTCGTTCACGGCAACGCGCAAACTCATTAGGAAATATAAGTAATACATCAATGTTCGAACCGACTAGACTATGTCATTCTCAAATATATCTCGATCACAGCTCCCCACACTTAGAAATGCAAGCAAGAATAGAAAAATTAGAAAATGAATTACTCTCGGCTAACAATGAAATAGAGGAATTGCTATTAGAAAACAAAACGCTTAAAAAGGAATTAGAGAAATCAAATAAGATTAATCAATTGTATAAAAAAATCGAGTTTAATGAAGGAGTTGCAACTCCGACATCTAACAGAAAAAGGAAAATTCCTAAAATGTCATTAATAACAACTACTTCTCAAGAAATTCAAGACAGAATACCTAATAAAGCAATGAATTACAACACACAAGTAGAAATAATAGCCGAACTTAATAAGAAAAACTCTCAACTAACTACACTTCTAGAAGAAGAAAAGGAAAAAAACACAATTTTAAATGAAAACAGATCAACAGTAGGACAGAATAATAAAAATTTCAAATCCAAAAAATCATATTCAAGGGGGTTAATAAAAACAAAAGGTGCAAAGCATAATAATATAAATAAACTAAACTTACAGAAAATTAGACAACTTAACAAAGCAAAAAAAGGTCTACAAAATCGATTAAAAATTATGGTTTCTAGAGAAAACAGAGTAAAACTGCAAATCCATAAGAAGAAACAGCTGAATGACATAAACACAGAGACAACGGCCACATACACTCACCATGGTAATAATTACATAGAAAAGCGGCGAGATAATAAAGTAATAATACTTTCCGATGACATTGGAAGAGGATTGTCCCTAAAACTGACAAATAGGACTAAATCTAATATAAAACTGATTAATTACTGCAAACCAGGAGCACATTATGACGCAGTATTGGATAACTTCGAAGAGAAAATAAAATGCCTGGAAAATGAAGATTTAGTTGTAATATTAATTAGCAAATATAATGTGAAAAGCAAAAGCACTTCTCAAAAAACATATTTGGAATATTTAGATAGTATAATACGAAATCCGCAACGTAAATTTAAATTAATTATAAGTGGAATTTCTTATAATGGCATAAATGATTATAATATATATAAGTTAAATGAGAAAATATCACAATTAGCTAGTGTTACTGAGAATGTGAAATATTTAGAATTAAATCTACGGAAAAATCATTTATCTAATAATAGTACTCTTTCTTTAAAGACATTTATAGCTGAGACTCTATTAACATATTTAAATAATGGATATCAGTCATCTTCGAACCTCGTATTTATTAAATATACACATGAGAGTGTAGAGTCTCAGTTAAATGTTTCTAATTTTCTAACAAATCAGCAACCACTTCCGAAACGCTGATACTTCATGCAAATGTTCAAAGCATACACAACAAATTTTTGGATATTGAGTACTTACTAGAGAAAGAAAAATGTGACGTATTGTGTCTTACTGAAACATGGGCCAAGGACTATCAAATCTTAGATATGAATATAAATAATTACGTTCTGGCTTCATATTTTAATAGAATATTTTTCGATCATGGAGGTACCGCAATTTATGTAAAATGTGGTTTAAATTATAAGGTTCGTAAAGATCTTAACAAACTTTCTTTTGAAATGAATTGCGAACTGACAGCGATTGAATTAAAAAGTCCTAATATTGTTATTGTTTCTCTATACAGACCAGATAAGGATATCTCTCTTTTCTTTGATATTATTGCTAAGCTGTTACATATAATCTGTAGAGAACGAAAACAAATAGTCGTAGCTGGAGATATCAATTTAAACGTATTAAAGAAAAACAAAAAAATACTTAAGCTCACTGATATACTTGGGAACTATAATTGTTATTGGTTAATAAATTCACCAACACGAACTCAAGGTAAAAGCTCGTCATGCATTGACAACTTTATTACAAACATTGATCTCTGTAAAGGATATGTATTAAATTGTAAGCTATCGGACCATAATGTTATAAAACTTGTCTTAGAATATAAGGATGACCCATTAATTAAACCAGTAACTTACGCTAGAAAAATAACTAAAAGTTAATATAGATTATTTCCATTATTTATTTAATAGGGACTTCCTCATTTTAAGATCACAAATTCTTAACTGTGTAGACCCAAATCTAGGGATGGAAATTCTATTTGACGCAATAAGACATTATTACAATACGGCTTTTCCTAAAGTTAGAAGATTTTCAAAGAATACATCGAAGAAATGGACAACGAAAGGCATACAAATTTCAAAAAATAATTTGGAAAAACTACAAATATTACAAGACCATGACCCAAATGTTGAAACACAAATAAAAATAAAAAAATATAAAAAGATATTAAAAAAGGTTATGATTGGGGCTAAAAAAATACAATACTCTCATAGAATTCAAACTTCCAAGAACAAAATTAAAGAAACCTGGAACATAGTAAGTGAACAAACACGAAGGAAAACCAGGTGTAGATCCACCGCGGGTCTTCTATATGTTGAGGACTGTCAGGGAAATAAAATTGAAGATTCCAAGGCTATTGCTAATTTATTTAATGATTTTTTTTCTGAAATTGCACATATTTTGACTAACCACCTAGATACCGACGTTCAAAAATGTTTACAATATTTTGAAAATTGTACTAAACCATCCACATCAATTAAATTTGACCTTATTGATTATAAGGAACTATGGACTATCGTTAAAAAGATTAAACCTAAATTAACAATGGATATTTATGACATGAATACAAAAACTATAAAAAAACTAATACTTAAAAATCCTAAAATTATGCATTTGCTGCTTATAGTGTTTAATAGATGCTTAAAAAGCGGTGTATTTCCGGACTGTTTTAAAATTGGCAAAGTTATCCCGTTACACAAAAAAGGAGAATATTGTGCATTAAGTAATTACCGACCGATTTGCATTCTGCCAACATTATCAAAAATATTAGAGAATATAATAAAAAATAGAATTGTCAAGTATTTCGAGGAAAATCAACTTTTTGTTCCAACGCAATTTGGTTTCCGAAAAAATAGGTCTACTGAGATGGCAATTAGAAAGGTCATTTATTTTGTTCTAGACTCTTTGGACGAGTCACAGAAATGCGCGAGTATTTTTTGTGACTTATCCAAAGCGTTTGATTGTCTTCGCCATAATAACCTTATTTGTAAACTTACATATTATGGTTTCCAGGATGTAGAATTAAATATGATGAAATCTTATTTATCAAAAAGAAAGCAAGTTGTTGTAGTAAATGGTGTATCTTCAGATTTAAAAGACATTGATATAGGGGTGCCACAAGGCTCGATTTTAGGGCCAGTGCTATTTTTAATATATATAAATGACTTAGTAAACTCGGTCCCTGAGTGGGCATTCACCAGCTTATTTGCTGATGATACTCATCTCGGAATAAAGGACAAGTCGCAAAATAAACTCGAGCAAAAAATTGAGATAGCTGTGGATATTTTGAAGGAATGGTTTGAGGCTAATGGCATATTACTGAATGCAAATAAAAGTACAATAATGCATTATCAGGTTAGAAAACGGCTATCTGAGAACGTACTTGTTACAAATAATACTTTTCTAGGTTATACCTTAGACCATACTATGAGCCACTCTTATCATATAAACAAGCTATGCAAAAAACTAGCCAGTGCAAACTACGCACTACAAAAACTGAAGCCCGTAACCAATAAAAAAACATTAATGACAGTGTATTATGCTTATGTGCACTCCCTATTAAGTTATGCGGTGACAGTCTGGGGAAATGCTTCTGATATAAATCGTGTACTAAAATGCCAAAAAAGGTCATTAAGAATTATAAATGGTTTGCGCAAGCGTACGTCAGCCAAACCTTATTTTAAACAAAATAAAATAATGACAATTATTTCTTTATACATTTATAAATGTTTAATAGAAATACACCATGATCGGGATTCACATTTGAGAAAGATGGACATCCATAGCTATAACTTACGTAATAAGGAACGATTGTGTTTGCCTAAAACAAGATTGGCAAAGGTACAAAAACAAGGCATATATAATAAAATTATAATGTATAATAAACTTCCCCTCAGTATCAAAAACATGAATGACGACGAATTCGAAAGAACAATTAAATTTTTTTTTATTCAGCATCCCTTATACTCTTTAAATGAATTTATGTCTATGCGTTTGGATGAATATTCATTCCTACATAAAGATGGGTGAGATACGAAATTGACTAGATCTCTATGGTAGATGACAAGATATAATAATCATCAATATTTTATGACATAAAATTATATATAATCTATGTTTGTATAATCTAATTTGTGATGTTGTAATTTAATTGTAATTGACTGTGATATAATTGATTATTAAGGATCGGAAAAATAACCATTTTGACATTGTTAAGATTGTTAATTTATTTGACATTCCTACTTACAATGATTTGACCTGCATGATTTAAACCTTTATTTTTAATTTAATATGCTTATTGTAAAAGACTTGCCGTGTGTAACCTTCTGAGTTATATGGCCAATAAATTATTTGATTTGATTTGATAATATTATTTCTTTTTCCTTTTGAGAAGACATTTGTCTCTGTTCGCAAATTTCGTTGTCGTTCACTGACGTCTCAAAAGCACGCTACGCAACAACCGACTGAGCGCTCAAACACCCTAACAGCGATCACATTGCCCGATAAATCGGCTCTAACGTATTATGCGCCGATTACACTACCCAATCTATCGACCCAATCTATGACCGTGAAATACCAGTATTATGTTCATTGGATAGCTACCCGCATTATGTATAGTCTATGGTGAAATCTGTCAAGATCAAGAACTGACTTCACTTTTTTATGTCAATGATCCAGTTGGATCAGCAGTATGGATTCCCGCTCACAGATTAGTATTAAGTTTCAAAATTCCCTCTCTCTCTTCTATATTTACAGGAGAAGCTTTAGCTCTCCTTGAGGCCATTCTATTTGCCGAATCTCATAACTTTAACAAAACTATCATTTTCACAGATTCACAGAGTTGCTTACAGTCTATAATATCACATCCGTTTCGTTCTAAAAATAAATTTCCAATAATATTTAAAATAAGACAAGCATTGCATACGTGCCATCTTAAGAAGCTGCTCATTACCCTCGCATGGATACCGGGACACTGTGGTATTCCTGGGAACGAGACAGCTGATGCATGTGCTAAGCAAGCTGTTATAACTGGCTCTTTAAAATATTCCAAACTTTTTCATCACGATCTCTTTGTACTAGCACATGAACATTTAATGAGGTCATGGAATGTTGATTGGGAAAATACTAGAAATAGAGCAGGAAAGTATTATTTTGAAATTCAGAGAACTATCCCCAGTACTCCCTGGTTCTTTGAGGAAAAGCTTTTAAGTAAAAAAACGATTTCAATTATTTGTCGCCTGAGAATTGGACATGTGTGTACGCCGGTTCGACTTGCCAAATTTAAAATTAAAGACAACCCCCTCTGCGATTGTGGCATTGGGGAAGGAACTACGGATCATATTTTATTTAATTGTTCAAATTTATCCATTTCGCTTTATGATTTGCTACCATCAAAAGTTCCAAGTCCAACAAATATAAAATGTATCTTGAGTATAGAGAATCCCAGCCCATTCAAAATTTTAGCAAAATTCTTTGCAATCAATAATAGTCTTAATTTATAAATATATTTGTTTTCTATATACATTCTATTTGTATTATCTTTAACAATGTAATCAGATAGACGCGCTCAGAGCTATATTTTTTATTTTATTTCAATTCAAAATTTTACATATTTTATTATTGTTTCTATACGTGTAAAGACCACAAACGTGACATTGGCGGAATTGTGTAAATGCAAATAGGCGATGAATTAAAAAAGAAGAAGAAGAAGAGATTTCAAGAGACGTCCAAAATTTTGGAATGCGAATAGTTTTATAAATAATTTTGTTCGTACCGTATGTTCTCACCGACTACATAATTTTGAATGTTTTGATAATTATAATAATCTTTCCCAATGCCGTTAACTGCCCGGCAAAGAAGTATATACAATAAAAATGGTGCAAAAAGAGCTGCCAGTTTCAAAGGGAAAAGAAAAGGGAGTGAGGGGTAAAACAATTATAACCATTTCGCTAATATTTAATTATTGTTTCAATTATTGTGTCTGTTATGCCTCTGGTGCAGTGCTTCAGCTGAACGCTTTTAATATTAACTTTGACGCACTTTGTATTTTAATGTTTTCGTGATTACTTCAGCTTGGCGTTTATCCAGATACTCAGATGGTTGGGCGAAGGTAAAAAACCATTGACGTGAATAAACTAAAACGTTATATTGTCCTAATGGTTTTTTCGTTCCATACTAACCATTTAATTTTTTTTGTAAACTTTTTCATATGTTCATTTTGTTACCCACGAAAGCTTATAGCATGCACCTTTTACATTAATTTATGTACTGTATCTAAACTGTTTTTTGTATCTAAATTTCATAAATATATTTACAAAAGACAGGTATTCTAAATTTCCAAATCTCATGCAATAACATCAACTAAACCAAATTGGAAAATTGCTGCTTTCACAGTTAGCAGGTTTTCTTGACCATATGGTACTTTTATTTCTAGGGAGATAGCTTTAGTGTTAATTCAGACTTAGTATTATTAACACACCAAATTTCATCAAAATCCATTCTGTAGTATTTGTGTGAAAAGGTAACAAACTTTCTCATGTATAATATTAGTAGGATGGATGTACTTTGATAAATGACTATGATATGAACTTTGAATAATTGTTGCTAAGTTCTTATGTGACTTTAACATTTTTTTATTCAAAATTTTAGTTTAAGAATTCATAATCAAAGTTGGATATGCTAGTCTTTTTCTCAATATATATAATCTGAGGATAATGATGACAATCTTGTACTTTATAAGATTACATGCCCTCATTAAATTATTAAATTGGTATTGAATCTAATCATATTAGGGAATGTTAGAAATAGGTATATAAACTTTATATACATTTATTTTAGGGTCAATATTAGCATGTTTCCTATGATTCATACTCTCAATATACAAATAACATACAGTTTGTATTAAATTCATAACTCCAAAATTTATTAACCTCATATTACTAAGACATGCCAAAAGTATTTGATGGAATTTGATGGAAGAAATGAAAGGACTGATAGGGCAGCCTAAAAGTTTCTAAAACATGATTCTTGCCTATTCAGCTGGTTCAATTCATTTGAATAGTGGGCATATTGTCCAAAACATATGCAATTATTATTTTACTACCTAATTATAACTGATTTTTATTATCTCATTTCTTTCAGAGATTTTCTTGTGACAAATGCTCCATCTGATCTAAGGAGTATAGCTTACCCTGGTGGTGCAGTTGCACTAGGCCTTCTGCTGACTGCACGTCTGCTATCAGCTTATTATGGACATATATCTGATTGCGATGAGACTTATAACTATTGGGAACCATTGCATTATTTAGGTGAGTGATCAATGATATTTGAACAAAGTATGTGCACATTTATATAAGAAAAAAGTTATTTCGTTATTTCGCCGGCCTATTGGCCAGGTGTGCCAGCTAGTGTCCGCGTCAATGATGATGACGATGAGTTGTTAGAGTTGAAATTTGATATAAGTGAAAAATACACAGTAGGAATGGGGTTACCTCAAATAACTTTTCATCTCATCCAAGTACAAGCGAATAGACAAAAAAAAATACACTTTTTTGAAGTGACAGGACATTTAGAGTTATGATATAATTTTCTTTTTAATTCTAGCTTATTTGGAATTTATTTGTTTATACATAACTAATTAAAAGTTTTATGATTTTCGGTGTAAGCACATCTCCTTAGATTCATCAGGAACCTTATCAGTTATAGTTTTAGCTCGCTGATGACTATTACATTACGAATAAGCACTGTTCTCCTCTTGGTTTTGCATAACAAAGAATTTTCGTTTCGTAAAAAGCTTTGCCTGTGTTGTTATACATAAACGTAAGGAAGGTTTATTCCTCTTGGATCACTCTGTTTATCTCTGATGTGTCAATCAATGATAAACGGCATTTAAATTAGTTTTGCAGTGAAACAAATCTTAGCATATAGACAGCAGTGAAGAACTTCTATACTTCCTATACTGGAAAATATTCTTAATGAAAAATAGCATTGTTTAACATTGTGAATGCAAAATTGATCAAATACAATGATTTGAAGAAATTTTCATTCTTATCTAAAGTTAAAATATTTAAAAAATAGGTATTTGTTTTGGCTGTTCGGGTGGATTGCCTGAACATTGATGAAAATAAACTTTGTAGTAGTGAAAAAGTGACAAGTGCTTGAAACATTTGTCTGTCCTGTCAGGTCCTGGGCAGCTCAGTGGATTTTTAAAGCATTTTTCATTAAGAATATGTAAAGATGGTTATTTTTCTTTTTCAGTATATGGCAATGGTCTTCAAACATGGGAGTACAGTCCAGCATACGCGATACGCTCGTACGCGCCTTTGTGGTTGTTCGCAGTTCCCGCAAAAATTCTATCAAGCGTGATGAGTCCTGTGTCTGTGTTCTACACACTGAGGACTGTTTTAGCTGTCCTCACAGCTTGCGCTGAACTAATGTTCTACAAGTAAGTTCTGAAATGTGAAATCATATGTTGGAGTTTAGTAGATCATAAAGTGTCATATTTTACATATTAATTGTGAAAGTGTCATAGGGTCCTGCTGTGATGAAGGAAGTTTATAAGACAATTTTATTATTTTAGAGTGATTTTTTGGATAAGGGTCTTTACAATTTTGTTTTTATACTTTTCTAATATTTAAAACTAAAAACGTATCGAAACGATCTTGATAAAATAGGGTATCGTTAAAAAAAACTAAGGTCAAATCAGCCTGTTTGTTTATAAGCTAGAATGCTAGAAGTACAAATAATTTGTATAATGGCTACTTCATCTCGGTAAAGTGCTCAGAGCTCCTAAACTGCTTATCCAAATAAAAAAAGCAGCATGCAAACGTTCATTACTTCAGGAGCCGCAGATATCAAATTAATAAATCACGCAAAAAGGGTAGTGCTTTTTGCGTAAATATTTAAGGGGATTCCAATTTATTAAGCGTGATTTTTTTCGTTTTTCATAGATCGGTTCGCCATCGGCCGGTTTTTTATTATGTTCATATTAGGGGTAGAATTTGTGTGGTGTGTTAGGGCGCTGGACCCGGCGGGCTCCTTGCTCCTTTCCGCTCGGAGGTTACTCGCGGTGGGTTTTACCAAGACCGGCCTCGCTTAAGCCTGTCCTTTTCAGGACGGGGTAAGAGAGGTTAAGGGTGCATTGGCGCTGCGTTAAAAAAAAAATGTTGTGTTAGGGCTGTGTGCCACGAGTTCGGCGTGCACGTGGGCCGCGTGTGGCTGTGCCTGTGGGTGTGCGCGGCGGGCGCGTGGGCGGCGGGCGCGGCGCTGCTGCCGGCGGCGTGGAGCGCAGCGCTGGCGGCCGCCGCGCTCGCCTGCTGGTGGCGCCGCCGCGGCCCGCCCGCCGTCGCGCTCACCGCCGCCACCACGCTGCTCAGTCAGTACCGTACACTTGATTTCATCATCACCAGTCCTTTTACGTTCCCACTGCAGGGGCTCAGGCCTTCCTTATGGATGGTTAAGGAGGATGGGCCATGACCCTCCACGCTGACCCAATGCGGATTGGAGGGTATTAACGACTGCAAATGCAGCTGGGACCAACGGCTTAACGTGTCTTCCGAAGCACGGAGTAGCTCGAGATAGTAATTTTTTGGTTACCCATCCCGTGACCGACCCTAGCGAAAGTTGCTTAACGACTACGATCGCGGGCCGCGGCGCTTATTCACTTTATTTACAAAAAGTTATATTACCTTTTTTTTCAGTCGTTCACACTCACGATATGCAATATGGCAGTTTATACTCCCAATGTAATACAATGTGCGGCCCTGCGAATCTGTAAAAATCGGATTCGAAATCGGGTCTGGATTTTTCGCAGGGCTGTAGTGGCTGGTTTACACGTAATTGAGTAGATAACTAGATTTTTAATTAATTTGTGATTGAGTAAGTGTAAACACACAAATGAGTAATAATTAGTAAATTTAATTTTGGTGAACCATTTTTTTATTTTACTTAATCGCATATAAAATGCAAAATGCTTAAAATGCGGTAAACTCCCATTATATATAATTTTTGTAAGAACAATTCACCATAGACCATACTAAATTAGACCCAAAATTGCCATGCTGCACTGTGAGCATATTATAATCAACCACCAAAACAGGAGTAAATCTATTATATTATAGTATACAGGAAAACAACTACTTGTATTATTTGCAACAATAACATAATGCCAATGTATAACAAAATGAAAATTAGGTGTGTGTTACACATACATAATCATTTAAAATTAAGTTTAAAATCTACGTAAACGATACGAGTAACCGAACGAACGGTAAACTAGCTATTGATCATTGTTTGTGTCAAAAATATCTCAAAAACCTCTTTTGCATTCGTTCTAGGCCTACGCCTAGCGAATGCTTAGAATAATTTGACCTTAAATTTATGTATTGTATGTTGCCTTTATATTATGACCTGTATATATCAACTTAATTAATTATTTAGGAAATTACAATGAGAAAATCCAATTGGAAGTCATTACAGTGGCGTCACTGCTTGGCGTAGTCGTCCACGAAAATGACGAATAAACTTAATACATGCCACAATATACTTTGAATACATACTTTGATTTTAACCTAAAATACATATATATATTTGACTTAGTTTGGAACTAGATTGTGGTATGAAGACACTGATGATGATGATGAATTATCGAAAAATGCATCGTATTAGCATTTCAAAATATTCATGTTTAATCGTACGAGTAGCATTGTTTTTTTGTTAATGTTCATTACAATTTCAATTACTTTTATTACAGGCTGGCCGTTCACAGCTCTCCTAGGATTACCCATAGCTATAGACATGCTGCTCCTCAAGAGACAGTTCGTAGAGTTCTTCAAATGGTCTGTGATCTCGTTAATTTTGATCCTGGTGCCAACAGTGGCGTTAGACTCTTGGCATTATGGACGACTTGTGGTAGCACCGTGGAATATTGTGGCGTATAACATATTCACCGAGCATGGACCAGACTTGTATGGTGTGGAACCGTGGACTTATTACTTTGTCAACGGATTCTTAAACTTCAATATTGTTTGGGTGAGTGTTTTGTTCATAGATGAATACAAAAATTATTTGTACGATCGGCACATATTAATAGTTCATCATCACCAGCCTATTAACTACTAGGGCTCAAGTCTTCTCTATGGATGGAATCGAATCGAACCACGCGGGGGGCAGTGTTGATTGGTCGACTTAACGACTGCAGAATGGCTTAACGTGCATTAAATTTTTGGTCACCCATCCTTTGAGCGGCTCTTGCGAAAGTAGCTTAACAACCTAATCGCGAACAGAATGCACTAACCACTGCGCCATCGTCATCATTCTGATCGTATATTGGCATCCTACGGGTTCCATAACCTTCCACTTTCGTACTACATACATACATTATTTGTTTATTTAAATTTATGTATCAGTAAAGAAATGGTACAAAAGGTGAACTTAATGCTAATGTCATTCTCTCCCAGTTAACTTTTAGGTTAAACGATAAACGCGATGGCTAAGACTCCCCGTCTTGTCACTAGACTGTATTTCATGAATCTTGATAGTTAACCAGATGAAATGTATTATGAAGACTGAAATAAATATAATAATATGTTGGTTTAAGTTTTCAAGGTCATATACATTAGAATTATAACCCCTGACGTTCTAACTCTAGAATAAAACAAATACTTAAGCGAGTTCCGATATAAAAAATGAGATTTTTGCGTTTTCCATAGGTACAAATGAGGTGCAGAGCTGTTTTTTCAGCTGTCTATTCTTGCTACACGTTGCTTGGGCATATTTTCTAACTGTAGTTTTTAAATATTATGTTTAATATACTCATTCAGTATTTTTTAATCGTATTTAAATTTTTTAGGTCCTCGCTCTCTCCAGTCCGATACTGTTATTGGCTTGCACGGCGATAACGTCTCGTTCTACCGCTCGCGCATCGTTCTGCGCCCCGTACTGGTTAGATCTGATGCCGCTAGCTCTATGGCTGGCCGTGTTCATGGTACAACCGCACAAGGAGGAGAGGTAAGGGAAATCGTTCAGGAAAGCAGCCCTTGTCGAGTTTCTTACGGGTTTTTCTCGGTACAGTCTTCCGCCGTAGATTTACGAACCGATGGCATAGAGTTTAGACTTTGATCTGATTTGTGATTTGATTTTTTTTTTAAATTTTTAACCACCTTTACAATCAAAATAAATAATTATTGGATAAAACCGTATGCGTTGCTCAGATTCCAAGATGAAGCCCTTGTATTATGTAATATCTGAGACAAGGAAGCTACCGTAACACCCACACACGAGAAAATATAAAAAAAAGTCCATTGTCTACATTGACCCGACCAGGAATCGAACCGAAGACCTCAGAGAAGGCTTGATACCATGTTCCCTTATACATGTATGTATAGCTTATTTACACACGGTTGCACGTCAGGATACCCTAATATATCAGATTTCGCCAGTTCATTTTAAAACTTATCTTAAAATATTAAGGTTTAAAATTAAATGAAGAAATTTGACAAATTTGTATAGCCGTACGTGATGTTGAGACAATCCCATAGAAAACTATCATCCTAATGTAAATGAGCACGAAAGCTTAAAACGGCCTTTGTAATTTTTAGGAATCATTCAAAGAAATCCCACAAATCGTAAATCGGTTTCAAGATGTAATCTACTTTAAGGTTTCATTTACTTAGGTAGGTTCTCGGTCGGGTCAATGAAAAAAAAAATTTTTTTCTATATTATCTCGGGTTCGGGTGTTGTGGTGCCTTCATTGTTTATGGTGTTGGACTTCAAGGTTGTAATACATACATTCATTAATAAAATCAACTATTATATATTTCTCGTGTAGCTCGGTGGCGTAGTGGATAAGCGCCGCGGCCCGTGATCGTTGTCGTTAAGCAACTTTCGCAAAGGTTGGTCACAGGATGGGTGACCAAAAAATTATTATCTCGAGCTACTCCGTGCTTCGGAAGGCACGTTAAGCCGTTGATCCCGGCTGCATTTGCAGTCGTTAATACCCTCCAATCCGCATTGGGCCAGCGTGGAGGGTCATGGCCCATCCTCCTTAACCATCCATAAGGAAGGCCTGAGCTCCTGCAGTGGGGACGTAAAAAGGCTGATGATGATGATGATTATATATTTCACGTACCATCTTTTATTTTAGCTAGCCTATTTATCCCTTATTACTTTAATTCTAAGTTCTTATTATGTAACTTCCTGAATGTGAAATGTTTTTAAAATCGTTCCAGTAGTTTCGGAACTTATTCTATGCAAACAAACAGATTTTGTTTATAATATTAGTATTGACAAATAAGCTCACAAACAAATGACATTTCTACTTAATGTTTTTTTTTAAGTGGGATTATTTAGAAACATGCTTTTAATTTCAGATTCCTCTATCCAGTGTACAGCCTAATAACATTAGCGGGTGCGATATCGCTGGATTGTCTGCAGAAAATGACATTCGCTGTTGGAACAGAGTTGTTCCGATGGCGGAAGGAGCGAGAGAGACGGCACTATCTGGCTTATACTGGACCACTGATGATCATGTGCGTTATTCTAGCGGGGATAGCGGGTTCGTATTATTCTATTATAATACTTATGCCTTATGCCTGTTTTCACTGAACTTAGGAGTTGCCCAGATTTTTCACCTAAATATATAGCAATCACCTAAGGTAAAAGTGCATGTCACACTTGACTAGGAACCGCCTAACGGTATTTAGTAACGTCTAAAGTTATGACATGCTTTATGGGGCGCCTTGCACTAGGCATTTGCCTAATATAACGGTCACTAATGTAGCAAGGGATAAAAAGAAAAAATATTTATTCTATTCGATTCGTAAAATTAGGCGTTTTCTAGTTAAGCTATGCCTTGTTCTAGGTTAGTTTATGGCGTACCACTTTTAGGTATCGATCACACCTTTATTATATGACAGAAAAACTAACTAACAAACTAATGAAGCAAGCTCAAATATTATTACAAAAATATATTTTTATAGGTATATCACGCATCACTGCTTTGTATAACAACTACAATGGTCCGATGAGATTGCTTCGCTCCCTGCCGCCGGTGTCAGATCCTCAGGACCCTCAGATTGTATGTTTCGGCAAAGATTGGTACAGATCACCTTCCAGTTTCCATTTGCCCGAGGGTTATCAGATCAGGTTCATACCGAGCGAGTTTCAAGGTCAATTGCCAGCTCCTTACGCGAAGACACCGAACGGTGAGTTATATTATATTACATTATATTTAATATTTTATGCTAATTATTAGTACAAAGGCGGACTTAATTTATATTTATTATTATTTGACGACGTCCGTAACCTAACTATGGTGCCATTTCTGAGGTATTTGTTTCGATTCCCGGTTGGTTGAATGAAGATATTGAACTTTTCTATATTGTGTCGGGTCGTTGTGTTGTGATACCTTTACTGTCAAAGATACTGCATAATAGGGAGGTTTTAGTTACTCTTATTTTTGTTTTTTTTTAATGGTCATATCATATCAAGGGTTCATCCAATATCATTGTTTGAGTATGGCCTTTTCCATTGAAAAAAATACAGAAACAGTGTTTTTTGGTGGGTGTTGTCGACTGTAGATACAGCCGAGATCAATAGCTTAACGTGCCTTACGAATGAGAGCTCACGCGTTTGAATTTTCGTTAGAGGCACTAGTGTAGCATGTGGTCTTCAAAATGTGAAATATTATACTTTGTCGGTGATTGAAAAAAATGCATTTTCCATAGCTACTCGCATCGTACCAAAACACTTCAACGATTTAAACAAAGGTGACAACCGTACGTACTATCGACCGTCGCAGTGTCACTACTTGGTGGACTCTGATATCGGTGAACCGACGCGTGCGCAACCCGCGTACCACAAGGATCCAAACTGGGACCCCATCTCTTCTGTTCCCATATTAGACGCGCAGAGATCTCACAAAATCTTACGCGCTTTCTACATACCTGTGTTGTCGAGTAAAAATTGTGTCTTCGCTAATTTATATTTGTTAAAGAACAAACTTTTGAGTGATTAGTGAATAATTAAGTTAGTTAATGTAGTAAGTAATGAATTTAAATAAATTATCGTTTGTAAGAACCAAAGAGTATATTGATTGCAATATCGACTTATTGATGTGGTCATATAAATACAAGAAGATTGTGTTGTATATTTTTTTATTAAATAATTAAATTATTACATAATTTTTATGTGTCAATCGGTCAGTTGCGCAAACGTCCATTAAGATTTAATGACGCCTTAAAGATCAAATGAATGTCAAATTTGTATAGGTAATTTTGCTTTACTAATGAAAAATTTAATGGACGTTTGCGCAACTGGCTGAGTAATTATAATTCTACTATCCATAAAGCATATTTTAAATTGAAACATTGATAATTTAATATAATATTGGCAATAATTATGCCTTGAATTTCGATTTTTTTTTAAGATGGCGTGACATCAAATTGAAAAGCAATGAATTTACAAGGTTACGAATCTAATAGAATTAGGAGTATAAGTTGTCACTTTTAATATAAATAAGGGCTGTACATTCACAGCAACGTAAACTACATATTAGCACCAGTTCTTTTAAAAATAGTTTTACTTTGTTAAAAGCTTTTTTCGAGAATTCTCCATTGACCTTATGTGAGGCCATATTATTATTTTTACTCTTATTATTATTATTTCTTTTATTATTATTTTACTCTACTATAAAGCGTGCTCTTAGAGAGTAATCATGAAATACGAATACACTCCTTTAACCGAGCATATAATATTCCTGTTTGCATAAACTCTATAACTATAAAACTTGATTGATATTTAATTGTTTTATCGTTATATATGATTTTAAGCTTTATGCCATCCAAATAGGGTTCAAAAATGACTTTTATTAAGTAAAACATATCAAATATCATGTAGTTTACTTTGCGGATGAAATTATTTGTCATGATAAAGTGTTATTTATTAGGTGTATATAGGAAGTATTACTGTTTATTCAGTGATTTTGTACTATAATGCTACCAGAAACTAGTCAATGTTGCATAGATTAGTGTTGCAGGAGTATCGGAAGTTGAGTATCGATATTAAGCATTAAAAATAAGACATTGTCTAAATTATTGCTGCAACACTGGCCTGCTTTAAGTATGCGTATTGTTTAAAGAGCATTCACTTTTACGTTTCTTCCACTCACTCTTTTTTCCAACCGATTAAGGTCCAAAATTGATTTGCTAATTTTGTATAGAATAATAATAATTACCGTGTCGTGCTGTTGACTGCAAAGCACCTCACTAGATGGCGACTCTAGCAAAAGTTGATTTTTGCAGGAAGCGAATGGATCAATGATAGTCATTTCCGTTCCTTTTAAATAACATATTGAAAAACTGAAATTTCCAAAGTTCGAAACTTAGATATCAATACAAATACAAAAAAGTACAAATAGAGTATGAGTTGCTTATTGAGTTTTGAAAATTAATTTGCTTTTATACATGAAAGAAACCTGGGAGGGTTGTCATGGAGAAATCAAGAATGTACCGTAGCGACATCTAGTTTGATTTCGGGAACTTTTTTTTTTTTAATACTTCCTCATTAATTATGAGATATCTTATCAGTGATGCAACGAAAAAAAAATAGTATGAAATCGAATAATGCTATAGGGCCATGGCAAACTGATTTGCAATTATTTAATAATTTTTCTGTATGAGCATATTAGGTTAATGATATCTACAGGATAAGTTTTGAATCAGTGCAAAATTGCTCTTATTTTTTTCTATGTACCAAGAAGGTTTCATATTTATAAACTGTAGGTGTATAGATGAAAATTGTAGGTGTATCTGGTCGTTGAGCTCTGGGTACAGTAATCATAAGTTGCAACTTGTTTATAAAACCATTGTTCTTCTTTTTCTCCAAAGTTAGTCGATTAAAAAAAGAGTGAAAAATGTCTCTATGATTTGTTTAAAAAAAACTGTATTTATACTTAAATCGTTTAATTTATAAATATTGCAAAACAATAAAAAACACGTTTTTCACATTTTTATACTTTTTTACTAAAATCATTGAGAAACAAGTGCTACATAGTGCTGCTATTTTAGTTAAATATAATGTCATAACTTTATTTATTATCTTTGTTTAATAACTTCAGTTGAATGGAATGCTTTGTATTAAATTGTTTGCATTTTAAAGTTTACATTTTTTGTTGTTCCTGTATAAGAATTGTGATTTTATGTATTAAAAGATATTTATGAAAACCATTGTTTTAATTTCAATCGCTTCCCGCTGTCTGTATGTACTCTGAGATCTTAAACTACACAATGAATCTTAATGCGGTTTTCACCAAGGTACAGACTTATTCAAGAGGAAGGAAAAAAAATGTGTATACGCACACACACATTTTTTTCTAGTGGTCATTTGTCTTATCTACATACTTCATTATTAATTTTTCTGTTGAATTAAATGTAATGTGCGTGTGTATTTTGGCAAGAAATAAATAATTTATCTATCTATGTTTAATACGGGACCTAAGATGAAAGTTGGTATCCTTAAATTTATAATTATCGATTTTTTAACCGAATACGTATTAAGCAAATGTAACGATTTTAGGGTTCCATACCAAAAAAGAAGATACTGTACCCTTATAGCTTAGAAATCTATATTTAAATACAGACTGGACCAACGCACACATCAACGTATGGGTTTCTTTGGTGCCTATCAAGTGCATGTAAGGATAATACCTTGCAACGAGTATTTCGTCTATGATAAGTTCATAAGGACCAATGTAGTAAGAACTCAAGTAGGAAATAATAAATTTTAGTTAATAGAGGTTCTGTTCATTTACCAATATTTCAAATGTACCAAGCACGCAACCCACTCTGCTGAGGCTTCGGCACCATGGCCAACAGGTTTTAATATTGGAAAATGACAAATCTCATAGGCCATGCTATGGAATAGATTTTCATTCTTTTATATTTTTTTGTAGATGTAGGCAATGATTTTTTATTTTTATCTTTTCTGTTTATAATTTTAATTTATTCAGTAACTGTTTTTTGTTACTTTCGTAAATTTGAAGTGGATTAATAATGAGGGAAATCGTCCATATCCAGGTTGGAAGATGTGGAAATCAAATTGGGGGCAAGGTAACAAAAGAACATACTGATAAAAAAGTAGTATAATAATTTTTAGCTAAAACTCACTTATGTATATCTGTTACAAATATTGTTATAGTTTTGGGAAGTGATATCCGATGAGCATGGAATCGACCCAGATGGTTGCTACAACGGCGATTCCGACCTCCAACTCGAGCGCATCAACGTGTACTACAACGAGGGAATTAAATGCAAGTATGTGCCTCGTGCTGTCCTAGTAGACTTGGAACCTAGTACCATGGACAGCGTACGAGCTGGCACTTTTGGGAAAATCTTCCGTCCTGACAATATTGTATTCGGCGCTTCCGGAGCTGGCAACAACTGGGCAAAAGGCCACTTTAGCGAAGGTGCTGATATATTAGAAGCTGTGTTAGACGTCGTCAGAAAAGAGGCTGAAGGTTGCGATTGTATTCAAGGATTCCAACTGGTACACTCACTCGGAGGTGGCACTGGCTCTGGATTAGGCACTCTCTTGCTGTCGAACTTGGAGGAGGAGTACCCAGATAGAATATTAGCGTCCTTCTCCATCGTGCCGAGCCCCAAGGTGTCAGATACTGTAGTGGAGCCGTACAATTCAACACTCTCCATCAATCAACTGATAGATAATACAAACCAAACGTATTGCATCGATAACGAGGCTCTGTACGACATTTGCTTTAGAACGCTGAAGTTGATGACTCCGACCTATGGGGACTTGAATCATTTGGTGTCGTTATGTATGTCGGGGGTGACGACTTGCCTCAGGTTCCCTGGACAGTTGAATGCGGATTTGCGCAAGTTAGCCGTGAACATGGTCCCGTTTCCGCGCTTACATTTCTTTATGCCAGGTTTCGCGCCTCTGACGTCACGGGGCAGTCAAAGGTTCAGGGCACTAACGGTGCCAGAGTTGACTGTACAGATGTTCGACGCCAAAAATATGATGGCGGCGTGTGATCCGCGTCACGGTCGCTACTTGACGGTGGCGGCCGTCTTCCGCGGTAGAATGTCCATGAAAGAGGTAGACGAACAAATGCTGAACATTCAAAAAAAGAATAAAGACTATTTTATCGAATGGATACCGAATAATGTGAAAACAGCAGTCTGCGATATACCGCCAAGAGGACTGAAAATGTCGGCCACTTTCATAGGTAATACCACTGCGATACAAGAAGTGTTTAAGAGAATCTCGGATCAGTTCACTTCAATGTTTAGAAGAAAAGCATTTCTCCATTGGTACACTGGTGAGGGTATGGATGAGGCTGAGTTTGCTGAAGCCGATAACAATATGAATGATCTGATATGTGAATACCAGCAATACCAAGATGCGACGCTTAATGATGATGAAAGCGAAGCAGAAGAGGAGGAAGAAGATGATAACGAAAACACAAACTAAGTCTATTTTCATTTATTTATTTTATTTAAAAGTATTTATCCTTATGTAATTCTTTTAAACGTCTACGCCTTCCCATACAATTGTATTTGATAAAAAAATGAAAGGTATATTTATTATCTTTGCATGTTTTATAATTTCTCATAAAGATCACTACAGTTGGGTCATTATAATAGGTCACATTTGACATGTATCAATTTGAATTTGATAGTGAGATGTCCTACTTAAAATTTTCGATTAATATAACGAATCGAAATGGTTTTTCACAAATGTGAGTCGAATGTATTGTGCAAAAAATATCTAATTTTATTACACAAAACCTTTTCTTCTGTAGTGTAAGCATTAATATTAAGGTAATTTTAATTTAAAACGAATAAAGCATGAGGCGATGGACTTGGCCACGACACATTTTTTTTAGAAAAACAGGATCGAGGACGTAACTGTTTTTGAAACGTTATCACAAGTTTTTTTTTAATTAGGATGAAATTAATAAAAAAAAAGTTTTGTGCTAATAAGCAATGCTTTTAATTTTTAAAATATGCTAAATTTTTATATCATATGACTTTATAATAATTTATTTTTCTATAACGTTACGTTCTATCTTCTTTTTGAAGTGTCAAATGTGACATATTATAATGACCTAACTGTACAGGTCAACTGAAAGCAATTTGACTAGCAGTCATGGCTTCTGTAGAAATCCATCACGCAAGGTGGGTGTTAACGACCAATAGAACACGGTTCGACTTCGATCCATAATTATACCGATTCCTATAAAACCTTTTTTATCTTTTGAAGTCTGTTTTATTTGATTGAACTAAAGGTTTCTATGTAGGTAAAGTCAATTTTAGGTTTAACTAATTGTTCGCGTCGTTCCCGTCTCTCAGCGCGGGCCGAGGAGGCACGGGGGGAGGAAACCTTTCTGCCTCACCACTACTGCCAGCCGCAGGACGAGAGCCGAACAATACCTTCTTGCACACCGAGACGCCAGCGCGAGAAGGCGCGCGCACCACATCATTCCTTATTATTATACAATCACTTTTGTAATAATCATAAAAAAGAGGAGTAAATTTGTAAAGTCATATTTATGTTTCAATTACTGAACACTAATTTTGGTAAATTTAAACTCTTAAATGAATTGTATTTGAATGAATTTGAAATTTAATTTTACCTCTATTGTCAAGTCACCGATCCACCATTACGTAAATCTTGTCGAACTCCTATCTTTGTTACCCACTTTGAGAAACCTTGGTTTATCTAAATTTCATATCAATACCAATGCTGGTAAGAGTGGGCAAGTTTCTTTTGTTAGTTCTTCGTGACATCCAGGAAACGTCCGGAACAGGTGGTAGAAAAAAAAACTTTTAATAATCTTAATCGAAAAATATATTTTCATTCCCTGTCATGCCAGTTTTAGTATATTACTCCAGTTTTGGTGTATTTTAATCAAGATTTCAGCGATCTTTTAAAAGTACTAGTTTGCTCTAGAATAAATATTGTAATAAATATTTATTTTTAAATAGTGACTTTGATAAAATCCTACTCATGTTTGCCATTTCTGATGTTCCTAGCTTTCCTCTGAAAGTCGCGTAAAAAGTTTCAATAGTTATAGAAAAAAGGTTTGTAATCCATCAACGAAGCTTGTGGTATAATTTTAAAATTGGAACACCGGTTCCGGTGGGATGACAAAAGAATAAAATTTTTCATCATTGAAGAAAATTCCGTGTACGATGTGCAAGCAGTAATCTAAACCAGAAGACTTTTTTATTATTATTTTTTTATGACCGATTAGGGAAGTTTAAATTCTATCTACCTATAATTTAGGCTCTAAATTTATCGTGTAACATAAAAAATGAGGGAAATTGTCCACATCCAGGCCGGGCAATGCGGTAACCAGATCGGAGCTAAGGTACTATTTCATTTAATAATAACTCTTAGGGTATAAACATTTTTTTGTACCGTAGGGGAAATTTATTACTACATTATCCCTGTCGCATGGCGTATGACGGGGTATGTGAGATTTACCTTCCACATGGCTAGTCCGAGGGCTAGTCAAAATCCACTAAAAGCCACATGATATATTGTCACGCATCAGAATGAATCAAGGTATATTGGTTGATATTGATTTTAAAATGTTTATTTTCAGTTTTGGGAAGTGATCTCTGACGAGCATGGCATCGATCCGACAGGCGCATACCAAGGGGACTCTGATTTACAGCTGGAACGCATCAATGTCTACTACAACGAGGCCTCAGGTGGCAAGTATGTGCCGCGTGCCGTGCTAGTCGATCTCGAGCCCGGCACCATGGACTCTGTTCGCTCAGGACCCTTCGGACAAATCTTTCGACCCGACAATTTCGTTTTTGGCCAATCAGGAGCAGGCAACAACTGGGCCAAGGGACATTACACCGAAGGGGCCGAACTGGTAGACTCCGTACTCGACGTGGTAAGGAAAGAAGCAGAAGGCTGCGACTGCTTACAAGGTTTCCAACTTACACATTCACTAGGTGGCGGCACTGGTTCCGGTATGGGAACCCTTTTGATATCGAAGATCAGGGAGGAGTATCCAGATCGCATAATGAACACTTTCTCTGTCGTCCCTAGCCCTAAGGTATCGGATACAGTTGTGGAGCCATACAATGCTACCCTATCTGTGCATCAACTGGTCGAGAACACTGACGAAACTTATTGCATAGACAACGAGGCGTTATATGACATCTGTTTCCGAACGTTGAAGTTGACTACGCCTACGTATGGAGATTTAAATCATTTGGTGTCGGCCACTATGTCTGGAGTGACGACTTGCCTGCGGTTTCCTGGGCAACTGAACGCGGATTTGCGTAAGTTGGCGGTTAATATGGTGCCGTTTCCGAGGCTACATTTCTTTATGCCAGGATTCGCGCCGTTGACGTCGCGTGGCAGCCAACAGTACCGTGCGCTTTCCGTCCCGGAGCTGACGCAACAGATGTTTGACGCGAAAAATATGATGGCAGCTTGTGACCCACGTCACGGCCGGTACCTGACAGTGGCCGCCGTTTTCCGCGGTCGCATGTCCATGAAGGAAGTGGATGAGCAGATGCTCAATATACAGAACAAGAACAGTAGTTATTTTGTCGAATGGATCCCGAATAATGTGAAGACCGCCGTGTGCGATATTCCACCTCGAGGCCTGAAGATGTCTGCTACGTTTATAGGAAACACAACAGCGATACAAGAATTGTTTAAGAGAATTTCCGAACAGTTTACGGCGATGTTCAGGCGGAAGGCTTTCCTCCACTGGTACACAGGTGAGGGTATGGACGAGATGGAGTTTACAGAAGCAGAGAGCAATATGAATGACCTGGTATCAGAGTACCAGCAGTATCAGGATGCCACGGCGGACGACGAAGGGGAGTTCGACGAAGAAGTCGAAGAAGAGTGATGTCATAGTTTGTACTGTCTAGTGTCCTAATTTTCGCGTGTCAATGTTGTGTGTAACCGATGTTCAGTGTTTTTGTCGTAATTTATAGTGTCTGTCAGAATAAATCGTTCAATTAAATTTTGTTTGTCATTGTTCATATCTATAGTCTAAAACTCTAGAGTAATAATTACTAGAGAATGTGATATTTTTACTTAGAATAACTATTTAAACTTAGCTATTACGTTCTTACTTCATTCAATTTCTTGTCTATTGGTTAGAAATATCTGCTTAAGTAAATTAAAACCTATTCTCATTAATCTCTTTAGGTTCAGAATGTACAATTCTCAAAATTACAAAGAAAAAAAAATGCCAGAATGCATCCGGGGCATTTTGCATTTTTTTATGGTCTTTGTTCTCAGTCCTTCGGATAAGCATTGCGGCTCGTAGGTCGGTCACGTGATGGATGACCAAAAAATATCTCGACCTGCATTTGCAGTTGTTAATTCCCTCTAATCCACATTGGGCATCCGTGGCGGGTTATATATAACCTACTCTATGGTTATGGTCCATCCTCCTTAACCATTCAGGAAGGAAGGCCCTGCAGTGGGGACGTAACAGAGCTGATGATGAATATAAAAAAGGGCTTTAAACTTGCATAAACGAAAGTCGATAAAAAATATTTATTACAAAAAACAATATAAAAAGAACCTAGTTCTTAACATATGTTGGTCTATATTTTACATTATCTAAAATTTTATTGTTCTCATTACAGGTCCTGGAATTTCACTCGTATATCTTGCACATTATTTTGATAGCTCTATCGTCCCTAGGGTATTTGAGACCAGCGTCTGCCAGTTCATTGAAGGTGACTGCGAGTATAGTCTCAAACCCGCACAACTCGGCGAGTCTTTGAGACGCAGGCCCCGTGAATACTGTCTCCGTAGATTTTAAGCCTAGGGTTTTACATAAGGGCTCCCTGAAAAAAGTATTATGAATACATCTAAGGCATCATCTTGCTTCAAGAAGGTTTCCATTCGCTGCGGTGCTGGCTGACTGACACACCTTTTACAAGCTTGTTTATTGTGAATCAAATAGTGTGATTTTTACGGGGTGATAATACAACGTTAATTAGAGCCAGAAATGTAGCCATGGGGCCTCTGTTATTAATGGAAACGACCTTATCGAATTCGGGCTCGTTTGATTTGTCTTTCAAGGGCTTTCGTCTGAAATAATACCTAACCAGATATGATAGAATTGAATAGTGGTTACCGTAACCGTAATCATTATGTCTCAATTAATTGTTTTTTGCCATTTTACTATCTACCTAAAGTGGAATATTAGCTGTTAGTGCAATGTCTTCGCAAATCAATGTTGACAGATATGTTTTAGTTAGCTACCTCCATTTTAATAATATATGTGATATGATATCCATGTGACAAAAAAACGCGACACTGAAGCACCACTGACTTACTATAATTACGTTAACTTTATCAGAATCAGGGCCCTAGTGCATATTTTAACATTCAACATTCAGCTGTTACGATTGCTGCCCCAAAAATTAATGATAAAAGCAAACACTATTACCTGCCTACCATAACTAAAATAATATCCAGCAGTATTTTTATGTAAATTAAGAATGGGATAATAAGAGAGAAATGAAAATAAAAAAAAATATTCAAAGACAAAAACCCTTTGCTGTCTGCCTCTGTAGGTTTTGGCACTAATATCGCTAGGAATCATATGATCCTGATACTCACCTAGCAGCTATCAGTCTTGCGCCCAGTTTTGCACCTCTGTACTCTTTCGTTACCATCAGTCCAATCGCCGCTAGATATTGGTCTCCTAAATATTCGAAGCTTTCACCGTGCTTCTCTTGAATGTACAAGATTGCATCCATAACATTCTTGCAACTTTCTCCCTCAACCTGTTTGTTAGTAAAATAAATGTTATTGTTAAACAAATCACAAGTCGGATAAGCTTAAAAACTTAAACATATTTTTTTATATTTAGATCCGTTGTTATTTTCAATTTTAATACAATAACCAAGATTTAGTGAAAGATAGACCAAAGCATCTGTGCATCGCCGCTGTGTATATGACGAATCGCTGCTGGAGGAATCCTAAAATATAGGTAACACGAACTTCACATGATTGAATTATACAGACAACGATGAAAATTGTCTTTAGTTAATGTAATTTTATTATAAAAGTTTTTAGCTGGTTTAAAGCTGGAAAGTTTCTTAAAAGTTAAAACAATACAGACTTTGACAAGCTTTACATCTTGCTATTATCGCCAAAGATATCTAAATGACAAAAAGGCATGGTGTAAGATATTTTAACCTAATGTGATTAACATTGTACCCATACATTATGTCCCGTGTCCTGCAGCCATTGATTAATATCCACTTTTTGAATATGGATTGGTGGCAGACAATACATACAAATCGTTGTTTGATCTGAATCGGCATGGAGATATTTCATTCACCATAACACAGGCGGCTGGTGACTTTGTACTGCAGGTTATCCGCAAACTTAGGTCCAATGCAGAGGGTTGTGACGGGACCTCTTTCAAAATGTTAATGTTGACCTTGCCTTATACATTAGATATCATTACAGCGATAATAAATGAATCAAATGAAACGTCCACTTTTCCTGAATTGTGGAACATGACCACTGTTCTTCCATTGCTGAAAATCTCTAGCACCTTAGAACTAAAAGACCTTCGTCCGATCAGCATACTGCCCTGCCTTTCTAAGGTACCGGAGAGGGTTGTATATTAGATTACAACTAACAGAATTCTCGGAGGCGAATGGAATTTTAACTGCATTGCAATCTGGATTTAGGAAGAGCCATAGTACGACAAGTGCATTAATTGATGTAACTGAGAACATCTTGACGGATCAGGATAAGGGTATGCGCACACTACTGGTTCTGTTACACTACTCCAGCGCTTTTGATGCAATTAATTACTAAAATGAAATTCTATGGATTTGATAGTTACACGCGGCTGTGGTTCCGGAGCTACCTGTCAAATCGAAAGCAATTCGTAAAACTAAACAGGGTTGGTGGAAATTACTTAATCTCAAGTCCTAAGCTCATTGCTAGATGCGTTCCTCAGGGCTCGTTATTGGGTCCAATCTTGTTTATTCTGTACTGTGCGGATAAAACGGATTTCGTTATCATCTATGCGGATGATGTTCAGGTGTATATTTCTTTTAGGCCAAAAGATTATGCAGATTTTAATGAAGATTTAAGTAACGTAGCCAAGTGGTCCAAAAATAATTGCTTAGTTCTCAATCCCTCAAAAACAAAATATTTGTTAGTTGGTACTTCGAAGGCATTACACCAGTAACCGGACACAATTGATGTCAAATTGATGAGTGAACCCATCCAGAGGGTAAACGCTGCTTGTAATCTAGAGCTACATTTTGATGCGTCTTTGCGGTATGTGGGTAACATAGCTAGCTCTGTGTAAAACTGTTTTATAGACTTTAAGTACTTTATAGAATCAGACACTTCATACGACAGAAGCTGCGCGTGCGATTAGTTGAGTCCCTGGTATTGGCCAAGCTTAATTATGCAGATATTGTATACGGACCTCTTCTATTGGCTAGAACAAACTGGCTTATACAAAGATTGCAAAACGCTTGTGTTCGCTTTTGCTTTACAATACCGCGTAGAAGTTATGTCACACCGTTCTTGAATGAATATTACATTCTTAAAATAAAATCTAGACGCAAAATGCATCTCGCTTCCCTACTTTTTGGCATCATAAAATCTGGAGAACCCTCATATCTTTATAGTAAACTTGTCTGGTTCAGTGGTCAAAGGGAACATAACAGAAGGCAACATGCTAAATAACTAGCAACCGCGTCACATAGACCTGCATCGTTCAGGGGTAGCTTTCGCTACGTGGCTTCTAAAATATGGAATAACATTCCCCCGCCTACGAGAAATTGTAATACTTTATTTACCTTCAAAAACACTTGCGTCGTTATCTAATGGTTGCGCAATAAAAACTAGGTAACATCGACATGGATGTTTGTTACTTATAGGATACTGAACAGTTTTGGGCGAGCACGCAATATGGGCTGAATGGAATGGTCTTGTGTGGTTTTCTTTCCGTTAACAAATAAAAATATTTTTATTGATCACAGGTGATTTGCTCTGATCTACCATCGTAGGAGGGTTAAAATTTCAAATTATAATTGTGGATGTGGATGCTCTTTGTGACACAGTAGTATTGGATGTTATCACACTTTTGGTTTCCGTGGGTCAAAAGAAGGGTGATGGTTGAAAATCAGCGTTAGCCCTAGCTGACTAATGCTGAACTAGTCACCCATTTTAGTGCAGTCATGAGACACTCAACCTTGTATTGTCCTTTTTTGCTGTTAATTATATGTACTGAGTCCCGTGCCTGTATTAAAAGAAATAATTTGAATTTGAATAGCTGTATTAGCACTAGCTTCTTTAATTCACTGCATAAGTTAAATACCTAAGGTAGTCACACTCCCTTAAAAATCTTCGCGGAAGTGTTGTGTGCGTCGGCTCGTTAGGTTCCCTAAAATATGGTTGAGCGAATCGATGGCTGGCTGGAATCGATCGATGGCGGAATGTGACTTCATAGTCTAATGAAGTCACTTTCCAATAATTTCCAATACTTCTCTGTGTAAAATGAAGCAGGGAGAAAAAAGCAGCCCTTGCTGAGTTTCTTGCCGGTTCTTCTTAGTACAAGGTCTCCCGACTTTCACAAGTGCTATGTAACAGCCTAGATTTAATAAACGGTTTTGATTTGATTTGATCATATTCTGGCACAAGCGTACTCATCCTACCTTACAATAACTACTTACTTTGAAATCATGTTCATCTCCTTTGCTGTGAACATTGCAAACATTCAGGGCGACCAGTGTTTTTTTCCCATTCACCTCTGCGTAACAGCCGAGACTAGTCCTTTGTGCCAAGACCTTTTCCCAAAGTTCACACATGCTCTTAACGCCCACAGGATCATCTTTGAGATCTACAATAATTGTTTAATTGTTCTTAACTATAATATTATGAGTATTTTTTTCAAGAGATGTCACTAAAGCCGAATTTAAATTAAAAATTGATTTCTTATATTTTCATGCGCACTATCCATAAATGAAACCAGTTTTAATCGGTTTCATCGTGTTTGTATTTAGTTTTAGACTTTACGGCCCCTTAGTTTAAGACGTTATTTAGTTTTAGAGGTTCCGTGTTCATATAAGACTTGTCTTATTTTCAGTCAACGAGATACTTTAGTACTTATACGAGGGGCGTTAAATTATGTTTGCCAAAAACAAACATAACCGACCAAATCTCTCCTCCTAATAATATTAGTTCACACATTCTTACCATTTTTAATCTTTAGCTACGTAAAATATAATCAAATAAATAGACATACTGCTAGTTTTGCAAAGATTTTCGTCTGGTATAAAGTGTTCGACCAACAACTCCAACGCTAAGGCGTCGTCTTCCGGAGCCAGATCCTGTATAATGAAGGTCTTTCCGTCGGCCTCCCATCGGTCGTAGACGCGGGGACAGGACGAGTCCCAGACACGTTTGAACTGCATGATCTGAATATGAAGATTGAGTTATTACTTATTTAAAAAGCAAAAGAAGAAATTTACGATAAGCTGATTGGTGAGCGTAAGCAAAGAATGTAAGTATATTAATATGTTTAATGAAAAATGCTTAAAACCAGCCTAGGGTGGATTTTTTAAACATTTTTAATTAAATATATTAATCAGTATAGTATTGTGAATGCCAAATTGCTATAACAAATGAGTAAGTTGACTCGGGACCCGAGTAGGGTTACCATCTGACCGGATAAATCCGGTCTAGACCGGATTTTGAGGAAATAGGCCGGATTCCGCCCGGATTTCATTCGAGACCGGATTTTTAGTCATGTCAATAAATAATAAGCGCCACCCGGTACGATGCGCAGCGGACGCCAAATTAAAACAACCATATTATGAAGAGTATGCACGTCTTGACATGCAGAGGCGCGGGAGGGGCGGCCCCCGACCTTTTTAAGTGACTTTTATTTTCCCAATCTAGTGACTTTTACTTTCGGTCAAAGACCGGATTTTTTTACAGAAATCAGGATTTTTTTGCACAAACACTTGCATGTAACCGGCTTTTCGATTTAAGCCCCTGGTAACCCTAGACCCGAGCGATAATAGCCTAAACACGTTGGGCTATCACTAGTAAGTGCGTTAAGAATTTGTATGGAGATTTGTATTTGTTAATATTAACCGCTAGGGTACTGTGCCGGTTTCCATACTTAAATCTTAACCCTCTCACGATCGAAGATGCGAAAAACTAAAACCCGGTTTCTGAATTGAGAATTTTAAGTTGAGCACGTTTTAAACCGTACTTAAAATTCTTAAAGATCACTTAAAGAGGTATTCGTATCTCCTTTAATGAATAGCAGTTTGATACAAATAGGACTTTTTTTCCCTTTGAAACGTAAAAAACTTAAGCTATCGAGAATAATCAGTTGAGATTTTGTACTTTTCTCAATTCAGAAACCGGTCGTAATCCCTCCGAAAACGGATACCTAATCGCATACACTGCGGCTCGCGTTTCCAATCGGCTAATGCGTGCGCTTGTATATGTCATAGGATTGTGACAAAATCGGGAAAATAATACTCCATTTCATCATAAACCTGAACCAGTCTAGTCATTTTCATCTAAAACCTAAAGTTGTTTCGATTAATGATATAAATAACCTATGTAAAAACCCATAATTGATTTATCGTAAAATTAATATCGGCTTAAATTATCACGTGATATATGTACAGTAGTGAATCGTATAGAAAGTATTCCGTAAAAATCTTAACCAGAATTCTAATTCACTCGTGTATCCGAATTCAAGAAATTTAGTGTATAAATTCCATTTTTTTCTATTTTTTTATTAGAAATACAAAATAAAATTATATTAGATATTACAGATACAGATATTACATCACTATGTCATTTCGAAACACTTCAATATCCAGAAAAAAGTAAACTCAAATGGTAATGCTTATTTGAATTCAATCAGGTGACAAAATACACCTCGAAAGCGAATCTTGTTATCTTGAAATGATATTGTCTATGCGTTTTGAGTCATAAGTGAGGTGAAGTGAGTTTTGAAACGACACAGGGATGAAATATCTGGTGTGATTTTATACAAGAACATCGAAATCAAAAGAACATTCTACACTTATATATTTTATGGAAATAGTATCATAGAAATAAACGCTTACCTATCTTAATTTTAATTAGCTCCGCGTTCGACAGTGTGGCGCCAGCGGCGTTTTCGAGTTCTAAAAAATACGAAATTTTAATTTCACCGCGGATTAAGCTTTCATATGTTTGAACCTAATATTTGAAAGATTTTTAAGTACAGCAGTGCTATTAAATGAAAACAGCTTCGAACTCGTCGACGATTACTGTCATAGGCACGTTAAGCCGTTGCCCCCGGCTGCATCTGCAGTTGTTAACACCCACCAATCTGCACTGGTCCCGCGTGGTAGGTTGTATGGGATTTTACTAAAATTATTACCTTTGCATATTGGGACCTTTCAAAATAGCTTCTTTATATTGAGTTACTTGCAAAATAAAGTTCTTGTGATAATGATTTAAAATAAAATTAGTACTTCCTCCTTTTAAAGTTCATTAATAATAAGGAAGTATTAAAAAAAAAACATTACGAGGGTTTACTGCAAAAACCGGCTAAATGCTACAAACCTTGTTTTGAGATATCGAGTCTAATAATATGTTTACGTAAATTTTTAACTCTATAATTTTAGTGGGTTATACGTGTTATACGTTGTTAGTTGGAAAACATCTTTAAGTATAATAGTTTTGTAATATTACTGAATATGAGTAACAGAAATCATGAAATTAGGTAATTCATGAGCAAGGTCGTACGGTTAACTGGTTTTGCCTGTAAATTGCTAAAATGCTGTATTGCCGAGATTATTATTGTTTATGGTGATTTTTATTCTAATTTGCGTAGATGTTAGCAAATAATATTTTTTTATGTAAAAATATAGTGATAAAAGACTAAATTTAAGGTGTAGTCAATAAAATAAAAAAACATAGCTGGTTTTCCCTGTATTTTTTATTTAAGTAGCTTGTGCTGAACGCAAAGAAAAAAACTTTTATAATCAATTTAAACTTGTGAATAATCATCCTTTCTTGAAAGTAACAAAGTTGCTTTTACAAATCGGTTTAAATTAAATATCTGCAAAATGTTCATAAAAACGTTCAACAATCGTCTTCATTTTCTGAATCACTAACAGTCGGCTCAGGTAGTCTATCATTCAACTTTTCAGTTTTTAAGTTTTCGATCCAGCCGTGTAGCTCTTCTGATATTATACCTTTCTTACACAAATTTATGAGATCTCTTTTTTTGGCTTTGGTTATTTTGAGAGGTTCTTGATACAGACGATTTAACTGGTTCGGAAGTTCATGATCAGCAGGTGAGTTATTTTCAGTATGTCGCATTTTCTTTCGCGTTGAATACTCATGTTGGGTTGTGAAAGTGGATGGAGTTTCCCCAATATTCATGACATTAAAATGTTCACTCATGTCATAATTAAAAAACAATTTTCTTTCTTCTCCTTTTACATACCTTATTCTCTTAATCTTTAACCATTGTACTCTGTTTCCTTTTTCATCTTTCGTCTTATTCTTCATAATTGCATCAGCAAGGTGCTTCAGGTCAAGAAACTCGTTGTACTTAAATTCTTTGCCATGGTATGGTTCTCTAATTATTTTCTTTCCATCAACTTTTACAGTTTGCCTGCGCCTAGCACGTTTAAAAATTGATATCCATTCCATCATAGAAAAAACGGACGTGTTTTTTTTTGCAGATTCTATGCTACTATGCATAGAATCTGCTTCCATCTGGCTGTGTCCAGATTCCAAAAACTTTTGCTCAATCACTTTGAAGTGGTCAATTTTCTGGACTGCCCAAAGTAGTAAGGCGGCAACAAATTGATTGCGGTTTTGACCGCCACATGTGTCTGAGAATAAACTGATTTCTGTGACGTTTTCAGGGACACAATTAGTAAGATAGTGTAAAAGTATAGTACCAATTTCGCAACTACCTTTCTTGCCGTTAACCTCCGACCATGGGAAGCAATAGGCATTATTAGGTAGACCTGCTTCGTATACTGTTAGGTTGTAAACACATAGTTTTCTTGAATAATAAAGCAGGCCTACATCACAAGTAGGTATTTGGAGGACTGCTTGTAAATCAAACGTCACAGTACTAAAATTCTCCTCTGAGTTTGCTTTTATTTTATCTTTTTCCTTATTACAAGTCTTCTTTCTTTCCTGATGAGCCAAGTAAACTTCTTCAAGTTCTTTTTTCTTTTCAGTATCAGCCTGGGCATAATTAGTGCAAATTAGTCATTGATCTTTTCGAGGTATAAAGACGCTCAGGTTATATTCGTTGGAAAATATTCGTCTATAAGTTATTTCAGACGCCGGCTCAACCTCGTTTTTTAAACACTCATCTTTGTACAATAAATGCATCTTTCGTATGTTAAGATTTTTATCTAAGTATCTGCGTTGAGTGTCTTTTCTACTGTAATGGGCTTCCATACAAGGAAACGATTCAATATGGTTCCTTAATTTTCTTTGGTAAAAAAACATTTTTTAGTATATGTCTTTTCTGTGCGGTGTCTATTGTGGGCAGCCAGGATTCGTTTTGGAAGTTGTATTTGTATATTGACTAAAATAAAATTTTTTTTGGCCTGGAAATCCAAATTCCAAAAATATCTACAGATTTCCTCTCTATTTTTTGCTGTAAAAATATCAGTACATTTGAATTGACATTTGCAGCAATCAATATCTTTAGGCACTTTGGCAGGTCTCACTTTCGATTTAGTTCTATAAGACAAACCATCTGCTCGTCTTTTTTTTGCTACATTACGAGCCCAACAACTGGGATCAGATTTGCGCCACCGTTTTGTTGGTTTTATGAGTAGCCAAGTCTTTTTAAGAAGATCAGTCAAAAAATCTTCAACTACGGCAGTAGCTTCGCTATTTTGTTTTTCACCTTCCTGGACAGCTTCAATAATGTTTTGCAACTCTTCGACTCCAAACTGTTCCCTTGTTTCGTTGTCTCTTCTACCTAGTAAATCATCTAATGTTACTAAATCAGCGGAGTCTACGTGTCCCATATGTGGTGAGTAGTCCTGGGGGTGGTAAGTTGGGTCATCTGTATCAGAAACGTCACCGAAAAAGCTCTCTAATTCCTTTTCAGTTGAATCATCTGATTGTTGCCCTAAAATATAAAGAAAACATAAAAATAAATACATCTTTTCTTTTTACACTCCTCGAGCCAGCAAATGTAATCAGTATTAATAAGTATCATTAGCGTTCAGTACCTAAACTCACTACGGATTTGTAAATATCATCTTAAGATTATATAAATATAGCTTACATACCATCAGTCAGTTTGATGTAGCTCTATACCACTCATCATAATATTCTCATCGTTGTTAAATATTGACAGGGTTTCTTGAATTTCTACATCCCTGGCGTTAATATTAGATTGTATATTTTCTGAAAATAACATCCGAAATGGTTATGTAAAAGGCATTTTTGCATTGTAAATAATTTGTTTAAAACATAACCTCAAAATAAAACTTACCGGTAGTAAAATCATTATTACTAACCACTAACGACACTAGTTTTTTTCCTGTTGACGTCATTTTTACCAATACATGTCACAGTCTACACAATTAATTTCAAAACAATTGTATTAATAATGACAAAGTAATACTTTCGATTTGAAAACCGCTCGCTGTGAACACTTGAAGCAAACTGACAACCTGTCAAAACATGTTGGCGGCGCTTATTTCTTTTTTACAACGGATACATGATCGTCAATTTCATCAAAGTATTGTGCATAAATCAGCTAGAGTTAGTTAGTCGGTTTTGCCTGTCGAAGATTTCTAATGATTATAAGTTGTAGTACAGGCAATTGATATTAAGAGCATTTGAAAGATTTTGGCAGTGAGATTTTACAGGCAACGACAGCTAAAGTCGTCTATAAAATACGATTAAGTGAGTTTATTTTTTATTAACAGAACGTGTTTGAGTACATTTTATTTTGATAGTTCTTAAGAAAAAGATGTTAAGTATGCTTATTTTTTTTTCTCAGTATAGATTTATAAACATTCCTTCATAAACGTGTTTAAGTGGTTTTATCACATACTTATTGTAATTTTGCTGTATTTAACCGTTTTTGACACCAAGTAACTTCTAATCGCCTGATCGTATCGCTTAGCCGGTTTTGCCAGTAGAAAGAGCTTAAAAAAATAAGTATCTTGGTGCTCTTAACTCATTTCTGGAAAAAATGTCGGTTAGCCGGTTTTTGCAGTAAACCCTCGATTAGTTCCCGAAATCAAATTAGATCTCGATACGGTACTTTCTTGATTTCTCCATGACAACCCTTCCGGTTATAAAAGTAAATTAATTTTCAAAACTCAATAAACAACTCATTTCTACTTTTTCGTATTTCTATTGATATCTAAGTTTCGAACTTTTCAAATTTCAGTTTTTTAATATGTTAGTTAAAAGGAACGGAAATTACTGTCTTTGGTCCATTCGTTCCCTACAAAATCAACTTTTGGTAGTCTCCATCTAGTGAGGTGCCTTTTTAGTGCTTTCTTTTTTTTCTTAAATTACTTCCTTATTTAATTATTAAATATTTTACCCGCGATTTCCACCCGAACCTTCATCAACATTCGTTATTTGAAAATTATTAATTAAAATAATATAATTTAAAATTATATCTTTGGGAATGAATTAATGATTCTTTAGAAAAAAAATATTCCTCTTCTCAGATCTCTGAGGGATGATTTAGGAATAAAAAATATGTAGCCCAAGTCCTTCCCAGAGCCTCCTAACCATACAATCAAAACAGAGTTATGTAGGTATCTACGGAACCGAAAATTATTATCTTCCTATTGGTTCTACCTATCAAGTAAGCTGTAATTATATACTACCAGGTGCGTGACCGCCTAACTCATGGAGGTAGTAATTAAATATGTAAATAATAAAATAATAATAATAATAATATACTTTATTGCACTCAATATGATACAATGTTTACACGAGCTTATTATTTAAAAACAAAACATTGAGTAAACAAATCGCTGCCTTACTGCTTAACAGCAATTTCTTCCAGGCAACCTATGGTGAAACTGGATAACGAATATAGATACTGTGGGGAGTGGGTGCAATATTGAGAAGGATAAATACATTAATAGCGTTAATATATTATAATAATATAATTATTAGCCCATCGTCTTTATCAAGAGTTAAAAAAGAAACTTTTTGACAGGTCAGGTGATCAGAAGGCTGGTTTGTACCTCGCCCAAAGAATTAGTTTAGCTATTCAAAGAGGTAACGCTCGCAGCCTTCTGGGTACCTTACCTGTAGGCAATGATCTGGGAGACATTTTTAATTTAGTTTAGTTATTATTTTAAGTTTAGATAAGTAGTTTTAATTTAATATGTATTTTAGAAGATATATAATAGAAATGAATTAATTTATTTAAAAATTATTTGATTATGATTTCTAGAGATTATAAAAGAAGTCTGGTTCATTTCACATAATATTATAAAAAATGTTTAATTAAAAAAAAAAAATAAACAGATTCATGTGTAAAACATATAAAGCATAGGTTATAGCTACGGCTACATCCATGAGTTAGACGGTAGCACCCCTGAACATACAAAAAAATGTCCAAGTAAGCAAGCTATGATTAAAAACCACAACATGTTCGAGTTCGTAACAGTCACAGATAACCATCAAAACTTAAATTCACATAATTCTCCTGATAAAATAAGATAGCAAAATTAACCCTATAAAATAATCTGAATTACGTGACGTAAATACACGTACGTATACTTTTTTTTTGCTATGAGCATTGATAAATACCACCATCAATATTCTTTATTTGTTTATTTAATCTTTTTTGTCTATAAAAAAGCAAATGGCGGACTTTATGCCAAAACGGCATTCTCTGCATACCATGCTGCCATGCCACTCAAAACGGTGAATGTACAGTAACCTAGTATTTTTTTAGTCTCTATCTATAGTCACTATGTAGATAATTAATCACGATTAATAAATTTGAAATAGTTTTTTACTTGAAATTTGCCTTCTCTAGAGACATATTCTTTGTTTTATTCGCCCAGCCTTAATATTAGCATACAAATTAGTAAGGAAGTATATGAAAAACATTCATATATTGTTGCCATGCTGATATTCATATTATTCTGAATACCCAGTACGCTTATAATTTTCCGTCGTCGTATAGTTGATTATATACTGCTACATAATTAGTTTGATCTATCGGGGACAAGGATTGCTATATTTAGATCTAACCTAGATCTAAGAATAAATTTACAATGTAAGGAATATCTGAATATACAATTAATTTAGAAGGAAAATTATATGTTAATAATAAATAAAATATGGAAACCCCCTTAAATATTTATTTTATTTCGGTCATTAGTATATCAGCACCAGAAATAAATCAAATCGAATTTCAGATAACTTTTACAGTTCATGACAGACAGACAGTGAAGTCTTAGTAATAGGGTTCCCGTTTAACCCTTTGGGTATGCAACTATAAAAATGGAAAAATATATAAAAAATTAAAACGGTTGATAATTCACTATGTGGAAATGCTAAGGGTATATATAAATCAGTATCTAGATCGCAGGTCAGGGGTGCGATCGCTCTCTAGTCATAGGATACGACTAGGATACGACATTATGAATATATTTCGTTTCGTTTTACTGTTTTGATAAGACTTTTGGTAGATTAATTTTGGATATATGAGTTGGAAATGGTACTGTCAAATCTATATACATCATTAGTGTTTCGTTATTGTAATGTAATGTCAAATTAGTAAAATTATACAAAATAGCGATATAACATCGCTAAGATGCCGTATCCTAGAGTTATAGTTAAAGGCGTTAGACGGTTGTTCTGCTAGTGCTGGAACAGTGGAGTGAATATGCATTAAAAGTACTTCTCTTCATAATATAACAAAAAATAATAAATTGCTTATACCGCGCATTTGTGAAACGACTGTATCAGCATGTCTCAGAAGTTGATGTGAAAATTAGCTCCAATGAGTTTCGTAATGGTAAAAATTAATATATTATTACAAGTTAGGGGCCATCCATAAATTACGTCACACGTTAGGAGGGGGGGTAATTTATGGACGGCCCCTTAGTACATAAATAATTACTAATAGGGCTTTCATTTAATGGAACAAACGCATTCACCAATTATTAGAAGTTTGTGTGAATCAGTGAGTCAGTATTCCAGCACCTGTAGCGCTATTCTACTATTAAAACAACCTGGAAATCGACGTTGAGCATCGCGCAGTCACAGCAAAGAGCCTACTTCAAAAGGTAAAAAAAGGTTTTATTTCATTGCACCTCTGATAGCGCTACATGCGACGTCGAGTTTGACACAATTTTTGAACAGAATAGCGTAACTTATCTCCGCGCTAACAGTGCTATTAATAAACAAGGTTCAAGGTCACTCTTATTGTAATTTTCCACTCCATGTTAATTTAAATAATAGTAACAACGTTAAATAAATAATAATAGTAATTGGAGAAACCTATTATCGTAGATTGTATAAGACGGGTATTAACGCGATAGATTTCGATAGTTAGGTTTTTCATCTACATCTACTATCACGAACCTTAAAAAGTTTATATAACCTTTTCTCGGTTATTTAATCTAAAATTTACATGTCTATAAGTTTCATTTGCTGCAAGAATCTATCCTGAATAAAATAATGAAAAATCCATCCAAAAACAAAATAAATAATTTAACACAAATCACACGAGCCATAATTGCTTGCTGCTTTTATTTTTTGTTCGATTTTGGCAGTCGTGTTATTTTTTTATTTCATGCCTTTTAGTGGCCAGTAGATTTATACAAAGTATATTTTTCTAATGTACTCATCTAGATCTTTAATTTGATACGCGTGTTAACGATTTTTTTTAGTCGATAGTCGGTTTTATTAACTAATGCAACGGGATATAGCCAGTCGGGCTATCATTACATCACCAGCCCTTTTACGTCCCCACTGCAGGGGCTCAGGCCTTCCTTATGGATGGTTAAGGAGGATGGGCCATGACCCTCCACGCTGGCCCAATGCGGATTGGAGGGTATTAACGACTGCAAATGCAGCCGGGACCAACGGCTTAACGTGCCTTCCGAAGCACGGAGTAGCTCGAGACAATAATTTTTTGGTCACCCATCCCGTGACCGACCCTAGCGAAAGTTGCTTAACGACTACGATCGCGGGCCGCGGCGCTTATCCACTACGCCACGAGTCGGGCTATATGCCGTTGCATTAGTTAAAAAATCGAGCAATTATACTGGGAAAAAATAAGAGAAAAAAAGCAGTATAAGCCGCCTTACCTTTTCCCTTAAACGAATTGTCTTTTTCCTCGGTGAGCGCTGCAGCCACACAATTTCACAAAAATAGTTTCTTTTTGATTTAACGTAAGCTTTTCAATAAAATATTAATATCACACTAGATGTAAGCGAGTAGGTTGTTACTTATAGTATCTATAGTGAAGTGCGACACTGCGCACACGCAGTTTTTATACACCTCGAGAAATTCCTTAAACAACCCAACCCGGGTGCTTGACAGCTTGTAAGGGGTT